CCCCCACCACCACCCCGAACCAACTTTCCACTCACATCACACTTCTCATGACCCAGAATCCATCAAAACGGCATAGATGTTCCATGTGAATAGCAAGTGTGTGAGTGTGCGACTACAGTAAAGTCACATGAAAACATTTTCCAAAAGTCAAACTAATGGCACAAAGGTGGGGGGTGGGGGGGAAACGCCTCATGTGATAAACTTGGACTTCCTGCACTAAATTGATAGGACTTCCTGACTGCAAATCCCCCATGACAGAAAATATTCCACCCAAAACTGCCTTCCTTTTCTCAAGTTCCACCAAAAAGTAACTGCCATTTAAATACAAAATAAAACAATTTGTTTGCAGAAAAAAAAAACAAAAAAACACCCACGTTACGCACATATTTGCACAACACGAGCCCTCTTCAAGTGGGTGCAATTTGCTAAACACTCTAGGAAACATTCCGAGTGACATTTCCTTGGTGCGATGATGAAATTATCAATGCCGGGTGACTTTTGAAGTGGACCGATAAGTCACTTACATAACAGGAAAACTATCCAAAGCATATTAGCTATTTTGCTCCGAGCGACATATTTAAACAACACAGCGGGCTAAAAATCTTTGAACTAGTCGTCATTCCTGCTCCTATTGCTCGGCCGTATCCGTAAGGGAATCTGCTACCCCGTCGACGAGATAAAACGAGCGTGGGCACAGCGACAAGTGAGTGCGTGCGTGTTTTAATAAGACAGAAAGGGTGAGCGAGTGGGGAGGTGTGAAGGGCGGGAATCTCCGCCACGACCTGTTAGAGCAGTTTATCGGCATGCAATGTTTCAAGCACGGCGTGCTCGCCTCACCAGGAACGCTAAATTAGGTACACCCGACAAGAGCTCCGTTTTGATTGGCAGCTAAAATGCACCATGGACCGGTCTCTTCTTTTCTGTCGCGGTCAGGTGCGTTGCGAGGGGTCAAAATATTAGGCAAGGCTCTTTGGTATGATGCAGTGCAGCAGCTGTTTGGTGTAGCTAATGTGAAGTTGTCAGGTGAGCTGTCCATCATCTTGTCAGAAACAAATCTTTTTTTTTTTTTTATTTACTTAATAATGGGAAAATAAGTACTATTGTAGGGAACCATCAAAATGATACTTCAAGGGGAAATCAAATGATTTTTCTTACAATACTATGCTCTAGGCAGCCTCACTAGTTAAAAACTTGGTGCTATGATTAATATTGCAGTTGTGGAATATGAATTAGGCAGAAAAATCCACTCGTATTTATCCGTCTAAGGGGGCGGCCATTTTGGCTTGTACTGCCACTTGCTGTCGACAGAAAATGACATCATAGTGCTCGGCACCATGTTTTTTTGGGGGCAATCTTGGGTACAATTTCCAATTATTTTTTTTCCTTAAAAATAATGTGATAAAAGCACTCACAAAAAAGTGAGGGATGCCGGTCTTTTGGGAGAAATTTCAGAGTGATAACCTGAAGGGGTGAATTTACTTTGGCATCCTCAATGTTTCGGTATTTTATGCACAATTTACTCAAAAACCAAAAAAAAATCCATATCCAAGAATGCACGGTGGGCACCAAAGATTGGAAAGTGAATTTGGGCTTTCTGGATTGCCATTTGCTCGCACGCACGCACGCATAATCTCTCCCCTTCCTTTTCGCTCTCTCCTGACATTACCATGCAAACGCCCCCCTCCCACCCCCACCCCCATTGTAAGGGTGGGAGGGGGTGTAACATGCTTGGCATGTTGACAGTGAGGGGCTCATTCATTCACAAACAGACTCAAGTCAAACTGTGAGCCTGAAAACAAATGTGCACACACACAGACACGAAGAAGCTGAACAACAAGTCACCTGGCGCCTTGACGTCACCTTTCCCCCCCCCGGAAACGGGTGCGTATGCACTCACCTGCCGTTCAAACAGGTGCCATCCAGTTCACAAGACTGTTCACGGTGGCACCAGCATATTCCTGGGAGCAGGAGCGGATAGAAGAGGAGGACGGGGTGCACGTTCGGGAAGCTGCAGTTTAGGTTGGGCGTGGCGGTTGACTACTTTAACTCCTTCCTGCCTGCCAGCCAGCCAGGCCACTAGACCTGTTTCTCACCTGTCACACTGACACACCGACTCGGTCGTCGTTTTAAGTTCCCCTGGCCATGACGAAGACAACTTCCCAAAAACGAAAGGGTGGAATACCCTGTAAACCTGATGCAGAGCGAATTCAAACTCTCAATGAAGTGGGGGAGGAGGGGGGAAGACTCAAATCAGCCGGTGTTCATGCCTGAGAAGCTCCTCCTCCTCCACTTCCTCCACCTTATTCACATGCTGATGAGCTGGCTGCACAAACATCTCCTCAATCACATCCCTAAACTCGCAACTCACCACTCCATTTCATTCAAATAGAATCTTCCTTTCCAATCGAAATTAATGGCAACGCTACTAATCCCGCACGCCCAAAGAGTTTAACAAGAAAAATTGCACTCGAAAGTTCTTCACGGAGGAGAAAGAATAGATGCCAACCAATCACACTTCGAATGAAGTTCGGATTGGTCATTACCTGAGCCCTGAATTCTTGTAATGTCATTTTCTGTCAACAGCAAGTGGCAAAATGCATTTTTAAAGGTGTCAGTCGTACATTAAAAAATAATTACGTTCCTTATGGACAAAATATTCACGGTTCATTGGTGAAAATTGCAAAATTAAAGTGTCGTTTTCATTTTAGAAGAAGCAATGACATAATGTACAAACATACACACACACATATACTGCTAAGTAGTACTACTACTAAATAGTGTACAGTTAGGTTGTAAAGTTTTCCAAATGTAAAATTGTTACAAATTATCATTTTAAACTCATCTTATAACATCTTAACATATTTCTTTGGACAGACAGCACAACCATTGAGGTGCCCGCCGTGACTGTATTTTCCTACGTCAACATGGATTTGGCGCCACCATGTGGCCGCTTGGGGCATTTAGATAGAGCAAAAAAAAAAAAAGCTAATGGGTGAATTTTTGGTAAAATAACACAGGATCATTTCCCCCAAATTTGTGAATAGCTGAATTTGTAAATCATGACTCGTGATGGTACTATAAATTACAGTAGAAGGTCATACAGCCTTTGACGTAATGTGTGTCTTGTGTACTTTTAAATTATGTAAAGCGTCCTGATACAGTAATGCCGTGGTCCTACCTTTTGTGTTGCAATGATGTCGCAAGTGGGCGACAGATTCTCCTCATCCGTTCTGATAGTCATCTCCACTTTGCCGTGAGGTACGTCCCCTCCCTCATGTGCGAGTCTTTCGGGGGTCACCTCAGGTTTGGCGTCACATACCCCAAACGTGGAGAACTGGCAGGAATCACCTTGAGCATTCCGCACATATTGGGCCGGAATGTAGATTGGCTCAGTGTCTTCTTGTTTGGTGCGGACATACCAGCGGTGTTCATTTGTCCTGGTGAGGAGCAAGTAGGTTTCGTCGGGCGTGATGGACACAAGGCGACCGTCATGTGTTTCGTGCTCAAACTCATGCTGGACTGTCATCTGCTCCATGTTTTGGTGAGTTGTTGTTATGGAAATGGCATCAGGATCAGGAAGCTGAGGATAAAATGTATAAGAAAAGGTGATGTATATCACGGCTTTTAGGGTTGAAAAAAATCTGCCTTATGCTTGATAAAGACTACCAGGCGTGTCAAACTCATTTTTTTTGTGGGCCACTGAACCCAAATTTATTTTAAAAGGGGAATTGAAAAGTAAAATGTCAGAAGATAGACATTACTAAAAGTGAAGTCAATTTGCAATTTGTGTATTTTAGCAAGAAACATAAAATCAATGTACACAATTTTCTTCCCCGGGCAACATCAAATGATGCAGCAGGCCAGAGATGGCCCCCGGGCCTTGAGTTTGACACATAAGTCGACAACCACGCTGTATTTTAACGTTGTCATTATGGTGGTACAGGAGTTATAAAGCTTTATATTTTTGGTAGTAACTGGTTGCCGAAAACATCCCGAACCACTGCTCGAGCACTACAACAACAAAAAAAGACTTCTGTTTATGTTATCAAATCAACAAGAAACACGTTTCGCCTCGTTTCCAAGAGACATTTTAAACATTAAAAGTTTAGACGAAATGCAAACGAGTCTCATTCAAACGTTCAAAATTTGAACCACCGAGTTCAAGTAGCCTAACTCCGCTATTAACTTGCTAGCAAAAATCGGCACTCACCTACAAGGACAAATAGTGTTCTATTCAAAACAATATTCATTCTCAGATTCTTTAGAATGGGTGCTAATCTGCTTGTCTTCTGTCCCACAGCACTTCAATTATAACTAGAGAAGTGGGAAGTAAGAGATGACACTTCCCGATTTGGCTGTAAAACAAGCCTCTTTGCCCGGCCGCGGTTTTTTTTTTTGGTAACACATCAAGGTGAACATCACGTGCCATCATACGGTCTGTGATCGGAAAGAAAAAAGACTGTGTTCTATTTCTTTTTGCGTTAACTGTCACGTGCTTCTTCCTTTGTTGTCGGATGACGAATCCCACGCGAAGCAAAATAACGCGCTTGTCACTACTCGACTTTTGGCCGTGGCATTTTATTGTTTTTGGTTATGGCACATACTTGTAAAATGGCAAAAAACCAATCACTCAGAGTCAAGTCGAACTGTTTAAGCGGCAGTGCGCGCTTATCTGGTCTACAGGATCACAAGATAAAATGGCAGTTTTGTGCAAAAAAAAAAAAAAAAAAAAAAATCAAAAGTATCTGTTCACTCACTTCATCGAGGTATGTAAACAATTACTCTTCCATCTACTTACTTCAACTTCCATGCAGTACTCTTTAAAGACAAAATAAATTCAAATACAAAGATTTGTATTCTTCCCCTGATATGAAAACCATGCGACTGTTCACAAAAGTTTGGCAGTAATTCTGTATTGGTCCTCTTGATTCTGCAGTCACCTGTTACAGTATAAATATATTTAATACTCTGTTAAAAAAATAACGCAGGTGTCATTTATTTAAAAGATGACTTTAGGTTGTACCCCAAAGAGCGGATCAGTCATTGTGCTGTTTTCCCTTCAATCCTTGCGCACAAAGGCTGGGGTGCAACAACTTGTCGTCTACTGTTTCCCCCCCATGTCAAAGCCTCCAAAGACAACCAAAAATAAAAGTGTCTGCGTGCAGCTCGGCTCCATCCATTTCAAATGGCTTTTACGTCCACCATGCCGCCATGTTGCGCACCCTGCCTGGTGCTCTTGATGCTCTGCAGCTTGCGCCCGTGCAGCGTGAAGCGCGACCAGGCGGCCAGTTGGAGCAGGGCGCAGGTGATGGGCACAAACACCAGCATGTGGAAGCAGCCCAGACGCAGCGGAGGCGACCCTGCGTTTGACAATACATCCACAGCCGAGTCCTCCGCCGGTTCCCTTTGGAAAATATCATATCCTGTGGAGTGCAACGCTGTCAGGAATCTGGACTATTACAGAATGCTGAGCGTGGTTAGTACAGCTTTTCCCCACAAAAATAAAGACTAAAATCTAATTTCTAATTTTAACTGATTTTTTTTCTTGACAAAGCAACTGATAACGTTCTAAGCAATTTTTAATTCATTTTGAATTTTCCATTCTTTTTCTTTATGAAGCCACTAGATGGCGTCAAAGCACTGAATGTAGTAATCGGCGTGATTGCTGAAGCCCTTTACTTTTAAAGGTCATGTGCGTATGGATATTAGTTTTCGGTTTATCAAGTCAACTCAATATATAGTTTCAGTTAGATGTGCAGCCTCTCAACAGTAAATATTTTCTGATTCAGATTAGCACAGTGCAAAAACAACACTTAATTCAAATAAAGTGTGACAAGTATAACCCGTAAACGGCTGCCACACTGACTGGCACCTCTCATTGATCGATAACTAAATCATCTAAATTCATTTCATGACTTAATTGCGGCAAGGGCTGACTCGCCCAGCCCTCGTTCACGTCCCATACCCGTGTAGGCGCACAGCAGCCAGGTGCCAATGAGCGGTGCCAACGTCTGCCCGGGCTTCGTGACCAGGGCGACCATGCCGAAGAGCAGCGCCGACGCCGCCTGCTGCCGCCGGTTGACCACGAAGTCCTCGTCCACCAGGTCGGAAATGACCAGCTTCAGCAGCTTGCAGGTTCCCTCCGTGAACACTCGGTTGCTGGCGGGAGGGGCGAGACAAAAAAGGCCTTCAATTGTCTGACAAAGTCATGTTAGGAAAATATAAAGCCTCCATTTTATGGGCCAAAACCCGTGATGCACAATGGATTTAAAATAAAACAATCAACGTGATTCAAGTGTAGGCCTACAGCGAACTGCCATTTTGTGCACATTTTCAGATACACATATTTCATTTGGTATTATGAAGTGAATGGGTCGAGCGTAGGTCTGAAAGACTCATACAGTCAGTAAACAGGGCGCACCTTGCAATGAAGATGCAAAGCAAATAGACGCGGTCGGCGCCGGCCAGCAGCATGGCAACGCTCAGTCCCAGTTTGAGTAGGAAGAGCCAGCGGATGACCTGGTAGACGCCGTGGCGCTGGCACAGCGTCAGGAAGTACAAGTTGTTCAGGTGCGGCGCCACATATGAGATACCTGCACAAATAGCAAATGCACAACATCGTCTTCACATTCGCGTAACGCTAACAGTGACTTTTTTTTTTTTTTTTTTTTACCGAGGAGGATGGGGCCCGTGGAGGCGGAGATGTTGTCTGACAGCAGGTGCTCCAGGAAGAGAGGGAAGAAGTTGTTGTTGAAGTGGCAGTGAAACACCTGCACTCAACGCAACACACACAGAAAAACACATTTTAATGCTACCATGGTGTCTCCAAAAGACAAACTTTCACAAAACATCATCTCAGTGAGCATTCAGAGCGGCAAGAGTCCAAATAATTGTTGCATTCATTTAGCTGTTTCCCCCCGCTAAAATTGGTAAGACAAAATGTATTTAATGAATGTAATAAATACACAAATCAATTTTACCAAGCAGGCACTCACGTCACACCACACAACACAGAACTTAATTCCGATACTAGGTGACAGTATTGCTCTGCAAATGTAGTTGTGTTCCCTCTTCATGATGTTAAGCCTTTTCAAAAGCCGAGTTAGCTGTATTTTTGCGACATATTTAAACATGCTGATGGGCATTCACCTGGAGGAGGTTCATGGAGACAAACCACATGAAGTTCCTGTGTCTGGAGAGTTGCTTGAGGTACTCCCAGACAGTGACGGGTTGCCCTGGTGAGGTGAAGGGGGCGTGGCCAACACTGAGCCTGTACAATGCATGAGGATAAGAGTAATGTAAGACATGCATTGCAAGTTTTTTTTTTTTTTTTGTAAATTAAAGAGAGCATACTCTTTGAGCGCATGGGCTTCATCCAACATGGGACGAACTTCCTTTTGAAAGCGTCGCTGTAGCAACCGGGAGACGAGGAAGAAGCCCAAGGTGGAGAAGGCGGCGAGAGTCACGCAGAACAGGCGAAAGGCGTAGAAGTCCTCCTTGTCCCAGAAGGAATAGGACAGAAAGACGGAGAAGGAGCCCAGGGCGCTGAACACCGAGCAGTGGAAATTGAGGCGCGTGCGGTCGGTGGCCGACACTGCCAGGTCGGCCATGAGGGCGCTGTGGTGGAGGTCCACCATGGTCAGGAAACCGTCGTAGAGACACAGGCAAAGCAGGAACTGCAGGCCCGGCCGGGCCCACGCCACCCAGAAGGCCAAGAAGGACAAGGCAAAGAGCGGCCCACTGGACGAGAGCGCACGGAGTCGCTTCAGGACCACCTCTGGAGATGTCAACTGGTCGCCATTCCTGCGCCGCAGCAAATGAATGACTCAGCTTTACACTTATATACTTACATTACCTGCATCAACTTGGTAACTCTCCAAACCCTGTGCACAGCTGTCAATAGCTTCCATGCACAAAGCAAGAGAGGAGGTGAAAGGAGGAGTACAGACACTCACTGAGGAGAGCTGAGGAAGCTGCGATCGCTCAGCCAGCCGAAGAGAGGATCGTTGAAACTGTTCCACAGCAGGAACACCGTCTGGAATGACACATGTTCTCAGAACGCAAAAACACAGGATGCCAACTAATGTCTTGCTCACCTCTCCCAGCCAAAAGGAGACTTTGTCGATCTTGTAGACGGACACAAAGGTGTCCACGTAGTAGAGCAGGAAAACATTGTGAAGGGTGGACGTGAAGAGGGCCAAGGAGCCATAGAGCACTGCCGTGGGAATGACGACGCCAACGCCATGACAGCAGGCCGCTGTGCTCCGGCCCATTCTTCCCTTCTGCCCTCCGTCACTCAAGCCCCAGCTGGTCACCGCCTCCTCATAGCCTGCAATGCAAGAGAGGATTATTTTTAGCGCAGCTAGTTTGCCATTCAAATTAGTTGTTATTTTACAAACAGGAGTATTCGTTTGCTCCGTATTTATGAGAGCTGAGAAATTTGGGCTAAAAATACATTTTGGAAAAATGTCTGCTTTAACAAAATCTAAATTCTGATTTTAAAGATCTTTCTTTAAAGGGGAAGTTGCAAGTTAGTCCTGTGCTGTCGCTTGCCAATATACAGTCAAATTTCATTTGTCATACACCCTTCGCCTCCAAATTAACAATTTGTGCCTCGATGAGGACAATTGTACACAAGTTCTATTATTTTCCTGCTTGAAAAAACAAACCTAAAAACTTTAGAACACCTGTTGAGCATTTTTTTTTTCAAAAAGGAAGCGGCTGAGATTCGAAGTGAAAACTAGGAAGATGAGTGACACAAACTGATCCCAGTTCACCAACAAGACATAAAACCACAAGCCCTTTGGCGACTTTAAGAGTTTCCACGTCGATTGAGTCTATTTAATAACAAGAAACCAACCATGGTCGATTTAAGGGGGCAAAGTACGTCCGAGGCTAAAGCTAAGTTAGCGGTAGTTAGCCATGGTTACGTGTTAGCACCCTAGCTGGAAAAAGGGGAAGCGGGTAAAAACATTTTGTGAAAAATAAAATAAAAGATACATACGACTTGGAGACGGTAACGGAGTCCACTAAATGAACTGAGCTCATGGGGAGGCTATCTTCGACGCTCCCCGGCCCCTTTGCGGAAAGCCGTCGTGTCGATTTCTCGGCCGGGTGTCCACGTCATGTCAACCGCAACTGGGCGTCTCGTAGCCGGGACGACGGCGGTCGATTTTACGAGTAACGTAGAGGAGATGGTTCGGACGTGGTGATGGAAGAGACAGCGTCCCCGAGTGGCAGTGGCGTTGAACTGGAGATTTTTCATTTATCCATGCCACGAAGAAACAGTCCTGTGATGGAAATACGACAAATATATTTAAATACCAGCTTCCCCTTTCACTCCATTTAATTGTCTTTGCAGTCAACAGACGCAAACGTCAATGGTTGCTGTTGTTGTCATTACAGATCTACTCCAGCAGAGGGCACGCTTGTATATGTCACGACTGGCTCTGGGGATAAACTGTGGCCCGTGGCCCTCAGATATATTAATTTGGAAGGAATTATTGTGTATATTTTTTTTCCCAAGCGTCAAATGAGGGAAACCGCTTGCTTGTTTGTGTCTGTGTGTGTTGCAGATGAGAAAGATTACGCGCCTCCCTGTGGTCAATCACCAAAAGCAGTGAGGAGGCGGAGAGCGTACAGGGGCGGAGCTAATTTAAGTGAAGGAGAGCTCTCTCGAATATATCCTGCTGCTGCTCGCACAGATCGGTTCATACAGAACATTTAATAAACCTGCTCCAGAGCTCTGCTGAGGAATCTCCCTGAAAACGAGCTTGGACTATTTTTCACAAGCAGGAACATGTATTTTGACGCAGCTTGAGGAGCAAGTGAGTACCCTTAGTTTTTTTTTCCATTATAAAGTTATCTTCTCCCAGAAAAGTATTTTTTTTTTTGTCGTTGACTTGACATTTACGGTGCAGATTGCATCGAGTAGTCAGCGTGACACATTGTTGCATGCAACTAAATCAACCGATCATATCAATGTGACACATTGATATTCATCACCAACGTTACGGTCACTGTGATCATTTGTTACTGACGACTTAAGTGCTGATATCGTCAATGCGGCTTATTATTCTCACAGTTAACTCCAATGATCACACCACTGGGACAAGTTGTTTCTCTACTGAGCACACTGATGTAACAGTTCACCCCTGCTACTCGCGATGAATAGGAACCAGGCCAACTGCCCAATAGCGAAAATCTGCGTATAATTGACATCAAATTAAATGCATTGTAGGAAGAAAAACAAAAGCTAACTCTATATATCGTGACCATAGAAATGCGACAGTTTGATGCTCTCGGCTAATGTGTCACTATATGATACGCAAAGGCACCTTCAAGTCCAGAGCAGGAGCTTTGTGGCCGGGCGCAGCATGTCACACGCCCAGGTGGAGATCGCCGGATGCGGCTTCCCAGGCTTGCAGCCACATGGTCTGGGCATGCGACGCAATTCGTACGGCTTGCATAAGATCAGCGTGGATGTGGACTCGCCTCTCTTCAGCGGCGCCCTCTCCAAAGCGCTCTCGTGGTCAGCAGAGAACATCCTCAGCCTGCCCGAGTCCCGAGCCGAAGAGGAGGAGGATGAGGAGAAACCCCGTGACGACACCCCCCCTTGCAGCCCTCTTTCCGATGTCGCCGGCTCGCCCGGCGAGTCTGACAGTGAGCCGGCGCAGGGGAAAGGGCGGTGGACATCGTCTCGGGTGAACTTTGACCCGCGGTCGGAAGAGGAAAAGGAGGACGTGGAGACCAAAGCGGTGGCAACGTCTCCTGACGGCCGCTACCTCAAGTTCAACATCGAGATCGGGAGGGGTTCCTTCAAGACCGTCTACAAGGGCCTCGACACGGAGACCACGGTGGAGGTGGCCTGGTGCGAGCTTCAGGTAGGATGTCCTTTTATGGTCAGCTTCCTGTCTCGCGTCTACAACAGAGGTCATGGAGCGGTTTAGGCAAGTACATTTATTTTGTGGACCGGCAACTTTGCAAACGATGGAAACATGCTTGGATTTGCATTTTCAAGCCCATCGCAAAACAAGTGGCCAAAAATGGACTTTTCCCATCGAAACGCGGGATAAACACATAATAGAATGACAGCAGACATATTCATCTGCTCAAAATATTTACATTCCACGCTTGTCCACGTTTGGCTCATTAACACCGAGCGACGTACGTCGCTCATCTTCGGTTCAAAAAGTCAACTGGGCTGTCGTTGGAGAAGCGAACATGAATCACGCGGGTGCATGTCGTTCCTTGTCGACCTTGGAGCGGCTCCATGTCAAGTTTGGTCTTGGGTAATCTCTGTTGTCACTGACAACCGGGCGGGCTCTCCGCATGCCTTCAACACGCTTGTGTGTGTGTGTGATGTACACAAGTCAAGAGGAGCAGCTGCCTCTTGCCATGCTTTGGTGGCTCAATGGAGGATTTAAAGGTTTAACATCGACGGCGTCACTTCAGCCTTGGTAGCCGAATGAGCTTTCAGGGGTGGTGCCCTCAGCCACAGACGAAACCCCTGCGCCACTGACACACACGCGTGCGCGCCTGTACACACACACGGTCGTCATTTTGGTGGAGACGGTGGCGTTTATCACCTGGACAAAAAGGGCAACTGCCAGCCACTTAGCTGGGCTGCAAACCAGGAAAAGTACATTACGCTCCACTTAAACAGCAATCTGCTAAACCACACAGAGTTTTCATTATTCATTAAAAAGTGTGGCGGAGGTCAGGCAGTTTTTGCTGCCTGGCAGGCGCAACAGTAGATCAGGGGGGAGGGGGGGGGGCGCGTCTCAGTCCAGTTTTTCCAAGGAACCACTCATAGTCCGAATGCCAATCAAACAAAATTACCACATGTCCTAAATGCCAAAAGAGTGGCAAAGTTGTCTTTTAGAAAAAAAAAAGGTTGGTTAGAGTTTTTTTTTTATATCATGACAATAAGACATTTTTGCAACATGAAGTCATAATATGATATTAAAGCCAACGTTTAATGATCCCTCATTAAGCGTTCTCATCTCACCTCATGAGCTTCAAGGTGGTTGATATCGAGACAGCCCGTTGTGCCCGGAAAACTCCAAGTCACGTGACCCTACCGCCCCTACCCCCCGCCTGCCCCCACGCCCTGCATGGTACACCAGAGGCTCGTGTTGGTGGCTAAACAGGACCAAGGCCGTGTTGATGCAGCAGCAGGCGGCGGCGCGTCACTTGCAGGTCAGCTAGAACGACGTGAGACGGCGAGCCGGGCAAAAAGTTGATTGGAAGTTGAAAATGAGATGCGCTCTCAAATGTCATCGGTGTCGTCAGGGACCATTATAACATCTTGTTTTACGAATATGTTTGTTTAATTGTTATTAGCAACAAATTACCTAATTTAAGAAAAGAAACAATAAATACACTTGAATGAACTCGTTATTCAAGAAGGGTTATCAATATAAATGCTCGGTGGGCCGGATTAAAGATTGCAGTGGGCTGTATGTGGCCCCCGAGCCACAATTTACCCACCCCCTGTCCTACATGATTTATTTGTTGACAAGGAGCGTGGATGACGACGGGAAAAAAAGGGAAACATTTATGAGACGTACGTCAGAGGTGCAGCAGTAGCAGTGAGCAACAAAAAAAAAACAACAACAAACAAACAAAAAAAAAGCTGATTCAATCTTGACGGGACTGCACAGCAAATCAAGAACGCGGCACCTTTATCAGCGACGTCAACATCAGGAGGCTCGTCTCCGATTCTTTGCGCAGGGGAGCACTTGACTCGCTCATTTGTTTTGGTTGCGTGTACGCGGCATTGCCCTCCAAGATACGGCTGCTCTGCCTGATAACAGCGACGTAGCCATTGCAGCCGCACCGAAATCTGGCCCCCCCTCCCCCATAATGAATATGACACGAAGGCCCTCCCCCATGTGAAAAATATACATTCAAATGCTGCATGTTTCCTTGCTGATATCGAGGAAGTGGGAATGTGATAGCACGGCCAAGAATCAGTTTGCGTGCGTTTTCCAATGTTTTTCCCCGTCTCTGGATTGGCGCTGCGTTTACAGAGTTAGTTGAAATGCCTTCGCTGCCTGAGAGACGCCGAGTGGAAAGTTGGCTCGCTAAGTGACATTAAGGTCTTGTACATGCAGGCATTACTTATGCCGGCCTCACGCGGCCTTCTCTTTCCGCCGTGATGAATGTTTTCCACCTTCCAGGAAATATACCTGACCGCGAGTGCGGTGCTGTGGCTTGTATGCCTCATATACAGGTAGAGAGGAATAACGTCAAAGCCAAAAGGTAAGCAGAGCTGCAATGCAAGCACAGATTGGAGTTAGTTTCTGATAAAAATGTAAATACGAATGTTCTGCTTACGTGGAGGGTGGGGGATATTTGTGTTTGGTGATGTCGAGTGGCGGCTACGCCACATTCATTGACGAGTGTGGCTTGGTCATGAAATGCTGTATTCAACGGTCACAGTGCAAAAAATAAGTTTAAAAAATGACATCTGAATTCTCTGCGAGCAAATATTTACGCTTGACACGACCACGAGCCCTGGAACAAAAAGCGATTGTTCCTTACTGCTGCTTTAGCGTGAGCGCTTTGGGTCACGTTGCAATCAACATCAGCAATGTGAATGCTGACCATGCCCCCCCTTTTTTTTGGGGGGGGGGGGCTGGAGAAAAAGCCACTGATGGACCGGGCCAAGGTGTTTTCTTTACAGTGTTGACAGTGCGAGGCTGTTGGGGGGGAAAACGTGTTCATGTACAGTGCGGCGGTCCTGCTTCCTAAACAAACCCCCGAGCAGGTCCGAGGGGGTAACCTCCGGTCATTCCTGCCATGAATTGGCCATTACCCATTTTGGAGAGCGTGTGTTTTCTGCGTCAACACGACACCTTCATGTACTCCAGTCTTTTTTTAGGGGGCGGGGGCGGGCGGATAGAACGCCCGCTCCTTTTTGGCTCTCATTGAGGCCCCCGGGCATCAAACTTTCATGCGCACGAGTCACGTGACAGGTGGTCTTTGCATAGCAGCGCTTTGTAAACCAGATCCGTTCTGTGTACCTGATCCGTGTAGCTGAGTGTAACTGGATGCCGATGACACTCAGTCCAGCCACAACTCCTAATAAGAGCCGCCCATCCATGATCTAAACGGCTTTTCCTCATTTGGGCTGTGGCTGAGCTGGAGCCTATCGCAGCTGTTTTGCTTGTCAGACAATTGTAGAGCGCAGATACACAAACGAGCATTGCAGTCAATACTGTGGATAATTTCGTCTTCATCGAACACGCATGCTTTGGAATGTACAGGGAAGGGAGTGAGTACCTGGATATATATAAAAAACTCCAAAACAAAACAGACCTGTCTGTCTCTATACTTCCAAATTGCAAAATACTGTACATTTTTCTTTTCGGATCAATTTTCCCAGCAAAACTAATTAAAGAGCACACAATTGTCACATCAGCCCTCCGCCTTGACGGACACCTGACCGTGTAGGTTGAGTCACTTGTGACCACCAGGACACGAGTGCCTCATAGCACCCCTCCCCTCCCCACTAGAGCTACTCGGAAATTTGTGATTCGATTGGCTAATGTGATTGGTCTATTTCCTGTGCGCATATATTTTCTCCTCAAACCTCCCGGAACTTTCTAATCGCCTCACCGCTTGCCTGCCTCTCGTACACACCCACTCGCAAATCTCTCATTTCAATGGCTAACACAATTGACCTGTGTATTTACTGCAAGTGTTCGCTGCCAACTAGAATCTACTGGAACTGAACTTTCTCAATGCATCACACGCATGAGCACACACGCGCACACACACACACACACACACACACACACACACACACACACACACACACACACACACACACACACGAACGCACATGTTAATTTCACATAAGTTACAATGGTCTCATTGTTTCCCAGTAAAGTCCCTCCGCTACACTTCTACAAATTTAATCATCCTTAAGCGACATTTTAGTGTACAACTAACAAATAAATGTTTGTCTTGTCATCTCTTACACGTGAGGCGGGCAAGTTTTACAGGTCAGTAGGAGTCGGTGGATGGCAGCTCAGGGGCGGTAAGGCTTAAGTGCAGTTTATAGACACGTCTTGAGTGACAGGAAACACCAGCCGGTTTTCAGGCCTGTTAAGAATAACCGAGTAAATAGGCTAATCTGGGGCCTCTGGGACACAGTGATGCAACACTTCCTGAGATGCGCCACATCCAGTGCAGTCCACATCGGTACTTGTTAGTGTCCTCTTATGTCGTGATTAGGGATGGCACTACTTTTCCTTGGTCGCTTCATTTGGAAAAAAATTAAGGACGGATTTGTGATCAAGCATTTAGCTTAGCTTCATTTGGACAAAAGCTGTGCTTTGATGCCATCTTGTGGCATCCTGGTTCCAAAGAACTATGTCAAAGTGAAATGAGGAGCTTAATTTAGACAGGTAGTGCCGTGCGGCTATCTTGTTGCTTCAATAGGCATCGATGAGAGCAATTTCGTTCATTTTCGCGGATCCACTTGAGCAAGGCTAATTTTGTTGTTGTGCCGTAGGTGAAGCTTGTCCCAAACTTTACAGGGTGATGGATGGCGAGTACGTGACCTGTTCTCTGGAGACCAAATGTTCACCCAACCCATTTGCACGTCAGATTCGGCTTGGTAGCTGTACACTGGCGCCTCAGTTCTCAGCCGCAAACGCACCTCAATGGCGGCACTGTATGCGCGTGTCAATACAAAGTGTGTGTCGGTCAGCCTCGGACCTGCCAGGTTACCGCCTCTTTGTCTTTGACCTTAATCCAACATTTGCGGGGAACATTGGGCTGGGTGATTTGACCTTCAAATACAATCTAGATTCATTTCAGATTTTAACTAATTTTTACACTGGGCTGATAAGAAAACCAAATGATGGCGTTATTCCGAACAAGTTTTTGCATTTTTTTTCTGCACGTTGGGGATGTGCTTTAATTCTTTAATACTGTGTTTTTAAAAATAAATCTATTTCTTGATAGAAAATCTGAAAATAAGTGTTTTGTCTTGAAAAATATCCCTTCGGTCAAAAGAGATACGAGTGACTAGACATCGTTGTTTGAGATTTAAGCCATCCGTCATTTCGCTTTTTTTTTAACATGCAGGCAAAAATTTTTGATGCTCGTGCTATTTGGTGGCAGTGAACAAGCCTTCAAAAAAGCGGCTTCTCCTAATTGTTTATTGTCACCGCCAGTTGAAATTTACTGTCAATCTAAAGTCATGTACATCAGTGGACTCCTTAACAAGCAAGTAAACAATGCGATGAAAGCATAATCTCCTTGGCCAAGGTAATAAAGCGATCCACTAAATCTACTAAGCCTCGCTAGAGGCAACATTAAAGTCTCAGTGACTGGAAGTCTTCCCCCCCACCCCTGCCTACTTTCTGGCCCACCGCTGGAAGTGTTTGCTGCTGTTTTCGTGCAGCGGTTGTCACAATAGGGGCGCTGACAGGGAGTCGGGGGGGTTGTCTCCCAGCCAGCCTAATGCTTCCGCCGTTCCACGCCGCTTATGTAACAGCGCCCGTGTGGCACCTAGCAGTCCCCTGAGGGGTCCCCCCACCGCTAACATGCAGCTGCAAGAGATGATGGAAAAGCTGAGACACATTTATTCGTGGCAATACGCTTGCTGGATGTTTATGCTTTCCTGTACGTTATGCAGCACACACTCCAGGTCTGGTTGTGCGCACACAAGTGGGGGAGGTCGGTGTGTACATGTGGCCCATCTGTTATATAATAATACATAACATATATTATAAATAATATAAATCATATTTTTGCTGACACTTTTTGTTTGAATGACCAACATATTTATTTATATTTTAATTTCAAATACAAAAAAAATTGTGGATCGTTTTTTTTTTCAATTTTTTACTAGTACGAATATAATAATTTATATGATTTTTCTAAATACTATATTATATACAGCCTAATCAATATTTTTTTATTTATGTAATGTGCAATAAACTGGTTTAACGAAAAAAAAAAATCAAATTTTGGACACACACGTCTTTTTTGGACATTATCACACAGTTGTGTGCCAACGAGTGAGTACGTGTGTGTTGTTGTGCGGCCAAATGTGTCATGGAAAAGTTGGATAGGAGCCTCGCACGTTCCTCTCCAGACCATTCCTTCTTTGGCCAAAGCTAGAACTCTGTTGTCCGCCAATAAAAGTCTTGCCAGACATTAGACCAGTCCCGCCTCAAAACAAGCACACAGTTGCAATGTTCCACAGACATTCCCTCAGAATTGTAAATGCAAATTGTAGTTGCTGTTGCAATGGTGGGGGCTGGGGGGGGGGACTGTTTGAAGGCTTGTTTGCCATCAGGAGAAAAACAAATCCAAGAAAAGAAAAAAAAAGAAGCAAAAATAAAATCGCAGAAAGGAAATAAAAGAAGCTAAGGTCATTTTTAATCATTGTCATTCGCTGTCTGTATTAGCAAATGGGGAAAATAAGTTAAAATGGGATTTTTGTGATGGAAAAAAAAAAGATTTGATTTTAACTCGCCTCGTAATGGTAGTAGTAGTTGACATATATATAACATGAGCTGGATTTGTTCTCAGCCAAATTGTAAACTCAATTTTTTTCCCCCTCAAGTTGGCCTTTTCCTCCACTGTCTCATTTTTGTGGGGGTTTTTTTCTGGTGGTGAAGATTATTTTTCCACACTTGTGGTCCATAGTGGAAAGTGGACTTTTTCAACAAATCCTTCCATTTTGTGTATTCTGTAGGTTTGCACTCCTGTGTGTCAAGCCAAGCTTGAGCTAAAAAAAAAAAAATAAAAAATCCTGCGGTTTTGGCTTTATTCGGCTTTTGGGACATGCACACTCAGCCCTAAAGAGTGTCACGATCTGAACTTCGGCACTCATCTGGGGCGGTCATATGGCCGTAAAATAAAATGTCAGATTGGTTTCCCCAAAAATCTGATTTGAATGCTGAAGAAAGTCACTCTTCAAAACAAGGTTTGCTCTTTGTGTTTTTTGCCTTTTGGAATTTGCTTTTTTTTCCCCTTCTCGTGGCAAAAAAAGCGTGAAACATTTTTTTTCCCCGAGCATTAACTAAATGTGAATCTATACTTTGATAAAAGCAATGTCTCTTTTTTGCGCAAACATTTAAATTAACATTCTGACGCTGCTTGGCTGTTCTGTTGTCGACGAGTCTCTCCTGCTTCGCCCCCGCCCCCCCTCGTGGTGTTGTGCTTTGAACTCTGAAATCTCAGTCCTGATAAATACATTCAAATTAACTGATAAAATCGATTAATCACCCACCACGACGCTCAAACGGCTCGCCCATGTCGTGCTTTAAGGAGGTCTAATTAGATTAAGTTAGAAGTTCTAAACACGCCATTGCTCAACAACAACCTGTGCGAGTGAGTTTGTGTGTGTGTGTGTGTTACTACTGTACGTGTCGGCTACAACCTCCCGCCTGTAAGCTGATTTTTATCTCTCAGAGCTGCCCCCCCAGCTCCAAAAAGGCTCCCCTGACATTTGAGAGACTCACGGATAGGTAGTGGAGTGGGAGAGGGGTTGGCAGGTTTGGTTTGCGGGTATCCTCAACTCAATTCCAAACGCAAACACACACACTATGTTCCCCCTTGAATTCATCCTGAATGCGTGATTCATGGCGGCAAAGTCTCCCGAGATGTTTCCGCTAAGCTCCTAAATTGCTCCTTTCAGGGAACACGGAGGAAGCACAAGAAATGTCTTTGTCCGTGTGGCGTCATCGCAGTGTTGAAGTGCTTGTATGGATTGGTGGTGACGGGACTCAAAACCTGTAATACCCCCGTCCCGACTCCCGTTTTTTTTTTTTGAAAACCGTTGCGATTACACAACCAGGGGTGGACGAGCTTGTGGTTTCCACGACTGCTGCTAATTAACTTAAGTAACAGCCATTTTATCAAACCACTGTTTGTACGAGTTATGTAATCATACGCGGCGCCGCCCCCCCTCGGTGCTCCTTAAACATGTTGACGCTGCGGGTTAACTGGTAGCACATGTGAACTGCTGCGCTACAGCCTTTCATGTTCGCTTTTCAATCTGGCGTCGTTTAATGATGTCGTAAGTCTAGTAGCCTAATTTACCAAGATTTGACTCCCAAGAGGTATCGATCATCCACTTACCTTGATCGAGCTTCTGCGCTTTACAGTGTCCTGGATGACGGAGAATCTACACAGACAAAGGAAGGGGAAAAAAATTTAGCATGCACATGACTTTTTTTTTTTAATGGATATTGTAACAGTAAATTAGGCTACGATGTCTTTTCTGCTCATAAAATGTTATGCTACCAACCACCCCAAATACGATAACGCCCGTAATGTGCACAGACTCGTAAGCTGACCAAGGCAGAGCGGCAGCGCTTCAGCGAGGAGGTGGAGATGCTGAAGGGCCTCCAGCATCCCAACATCGTGCGCTTTCACGACTCGTGGAAGTCGACGGTGAAGGGCCACAAGTGCATCATCCTGGTGACCGAGCTCATGACATCCGGCACGCTCAAGACGTGAGTCCCAACCCACCTCATTGGGGCCGGGATGGAAAAACAGCAAGGCAGCTCAATGATATGCCCTTTACCGTTTTTTTTTTCGTTAGCTATCTGAAAAGGTTCAAGGAGATGAAGCCGAAGCTGCTGCAACGCTGGAGCCGTCAAATCCTGAAGGGGCTCCATTTCCTGCACACGCGCACGCCGCCCATCATCCACCGAGACCTCAAGTGCGACAACATATTTATCACCGGGCCCACCGGCTCCGTCAAGATCGGTGACCTCGGACTGGCCACGCTCAAGAGCGCCTCTTTTGCCAAAAGTGTGATCGGTGAGCTCGCAACTAACTCCGGACATGGCCGACAAACTTTAGCTTTTAGCGTAAACCTGCATCCAAAATAATGGTTCTCAATCCCTCGCAATACTGGATTGGGAAGACCATCTTGCGGATGATGTGGCCAGCCTGAAAATCAATCGAGTTTTTGTTCTCGTTTTCACGTCGCCGACCATCACGTTGACAGGAACGCCCGAGTTCATGGCCCCCGAGATGTACGAGGAGAAATACGACGAGGCGGTGGACGTCTACGCCTTCGGCATGTGCATCCTGGAAATGGCCACCTCCGAGTATCCCTACTCTGAATGTCAAAATGCTGCACAGATTTACCGCAAAGTCACCAGCGTGAGTAATGGAACCCTCTTCATGTATCTCAAGTCTTTAGCGATTGTCGGAATGTCCTTACACGGGACAAAGCAGTGTCTCTAACTTGTTAACTTGCTCAGTAACTCAGTTACAGTTAAAACAAACAAAAACAAAAACATTGGAGTAGTGACGTGAAATGTCTGCGTGCACATTGGCGCCGACGAAACGACGGGCGGGAATGATGTGTTTTGGAAAATCCTGTCTCCGTTCGCCGATGCTGCGAGGCATCGAGTTACATCACGTATGCAGAGTTAGAACGTGTCAAGTGGATACCGTCGGTATGCGGCTTGAAAGTCGGGGGCGCTGCAATGCCGGCGTGGTTTTTTTCGCACACGTCGTAATGTTATATTGCGCGCCTCATAAACAAATGCCGGCGTGCCGCGGGGAGACCACGGCGCAAACGTGACACCAGCTGTGAGGGCGGGTGCTGGCCAACTGGCTCCGACAGGCCACATTAATAGGAACACCTGGACATGCTAATTTGGCCTGCGTGTGACATACTGACCCGTGCCGTGCTTGAAACTGGTCCACAATTGTATTTTTTTTTTGTTGTAAATAATACAAAAAAAAAAATATACCCCCAAACCAACCTCAGGATTTCGCTTCTTAGCTCCTCTCCCAACAAGCGGATGATGGAATCCCGTCGCGCGACTGTGCGACGTGTCAGATAACAACACGCGCAAAGCCGAGTTTGCGTCGTGTTTTGACTTCACCTCGGCCTGCCGCTGCTCTGCGGGCCCGCCGATCTTTTTGACCTCGCCTCCCCCTCCCCGCTCATCTGCGCTTCAGACGGCTGCGCTCATCGAGCCGCATTCTCCTGATAACGCTCAGAGGTTCCAAATTCCCAAAACGTGCTTGTTCGGATCATTTAAGACTCAACATTGTCCCTAAGTGCGAATGTGAGCGGGAATAGTTGTGCCCACTGTTTGGCTTTTGTATCACAAATGCTGTGACCTTGTCATGTCCTTGACTATGTATGTGTTTCTGTCTGCTCAGGGCATAAAACCCGACAGCTTCTACAACGTGAAAGTGCCGGAGCTCAAAGAGATCATCGAAGGCTGCATTCGCATGAACAACGATGAAAGGTGAAGCCGTCCTCCCTGCCTCGTGACATCACACGCGATCTCTTTCTAAAACCCAACGCCGCCACAGGTATACCATCCAGGATCTGCTGGAGCACCCCTTCTTCCAGGAGAACCACGGCGTGCACGTGGAGCTGGCCGAGGAGGACGACGCGCTCAAGTCTGGCCTGAAGCTGTGGCTGCGCATGGACGACACCAAGAAACTCCACGGAAAGTACAAGGACAACAACGCCATCGAGTTCCTCTTTGAATTGTACAAAGACGTCCCCGAAGAGGTGGCGCAGGAGATGGTGAGGAGCGCCAACATTCTGTTGCTAGGCGGTCATCAACTGTCACAGTACAACAATGTTACGTTGTTTGTTGTGACAGCTAATTTGAAACCTGACAGGCGTGAAGATAACACCCAATGTCGCGCAAGGACAGAGCGTGTTTTTTTTTTCCACTGGAAGGAAATGTGAGTCGGAAGGAGCCCTTTTATAAAACCGTGGCCGTAAAGGTGACTTTTAATGAAAAGCGTTGGCTTTTCATCGAGATCAAATTTGAAATGACAGGCGGATGTCGTAATGCGACCCGGCTGTTGAGGGGCGGCATTGGACTCGATGTCCCGCTCGGCTTCGAGCCAGCTGCCAAAACGCCGCTGGGTGGGACGACATCTTTTTTTTTAAAGGCTTTTTCCTGCTCCTTGTGTTATTTTCACTAAAACTCGAACATCGTTTTACAGATCAGTGGTCGTAACTTGGCTCCTTATCGAGTAAAGTGTATATCGTGAACACATTGAACCATTCACTGTTACGCCTTGACCACGTGTGCGTCTGTCCGTGTGCTTGTTACGCAGGTGGTGCTGGGCTTCGTGTGCGAGGCCGACTTCAAGCTAGTGGCCAAAGCCATCCGGGACCGCGTGACGGCCATCAAGCGCCAACGGGAAAAGCTGAGGCGGCAGGCCGAGGAGCGGAGGCCGCGTTCGTCCTCCCCGCGAGTCGGCGACATCGCGGCCGGCGAATCCCCCTCGCCGCCGGCCCCCTTGCCTTCCCCCCTCCTGTCCCCCGTCACCAGCTCGGCCGACTCCGGCGTCAGCTCCGGCTGCCCCGCAGAGACGGAAGAGCCCGAGGCCGACCAGCCCTTTCACATCCGCCACAACAGCCTCTCCTCGGCTAATTGTGCGTCTGCTTTCCATAATACGCCTCGCTTGTTAAAAGTGCAGCATGCGTGTATAATCGTCAGCTTGTGACTGACACGCAGAGCCGCGTGGGAGGCGTGAAGAACACAATATTTAGCCTTTTTTAAAAAAATGCAGACAAATATTCGATCAGACTGAGAAAGACAATCTCGGGGTCATCAAGTCTGACATGTGCATCTGTGTGCGCACGTCACATGCTAAACCCTCTGCGTGTTTTGTTGGGACAGCTGACTGCGAGACGGACTGCGACCTGAGCTCCCCCGGCCTTCAAGACCCCCTGGAGGCCACACCCCCCGCCTCCTACGCCCACTCCTCGACCACAAACGGCCTGCCCATCCCGGCGCTTCGTTTCCCTTCGGTGAGTAGGCCGAATCCCGATTCAGAATCAATCCTAAAATTCAGTTAAAAAGATAAGGCACACTTTTGATTGACATGTTATCATAAAGGTAATATTCCTCAGGAAAAAAAACAATCATTTTCTGTAAATATAGTTATTTTAATTATATTTTAAATGAGTTTATTCTTGTTGTTTTTCAATAATGGATGGCTGAAGTCAGTCTGCATTTTATTTTCAGAGCATTGCCGTATCCAACAAAATGGAAAGCGTCAAGCCAGGATCTCCGAATGGCTTCAACTCTCCCGGGGACAGGTACGCAACTCCTGTTCCTCGTGCACAAAAAGGCTGAGGGGGCAGGAAAGACCCTTTCATGCGCCCTGTAATCTGATTACATGATAAGCTGTCCACTGAAGTAACTGCTGTCCCTGAAAGGGTTCATTAAATTGACTTTGGTTAAGTCCTTTGCTATTTCACAGATCGTCAATGTTGAGGTTGAAATATTCCAAAAGTAAATACTTCCCACGCCATTAAGGGTCATTTGTGGTAGTTACGTTTAATTGGCATAAAAAATAAATAAATAAATAAAAAATCAGAAAAAAATCCCCCCCACCCTCTAAGAAGTAACGTTTTGAGAACGCCTGTCCTGCATGGAGGAAAAAAATGTAATGCTCGTAACGTGAAAGCGGTTGTAAGAAGTTTCTTGCCAAGCCCGTAAATGTTTGAGCAGCCTTAAACGCAATTAGCCTCGGCGAAGGCTATTTAAAAAATAAAATAAATGTACACGAGATGTTCTCCACGCTTCTCTGAAACCTCAAACGTGTTTATCGTATTTACTCAACACACACGCCGGAGAGACCAGCTCCTCACGAGTACACATTTGTTTGTTTAGACTTGAGCATCACATGCTAGCGATGACTATTCACGAGGATCTTGGACAAAAAGTAGAACAGGTCTGCATGTCCACCTCTGTGCTTTCTGTTTGTTCTTTTGCTGCGAAATAGAGCGTGAATGGGACGAGATCCTTCGAGATGCCTGAGGGGCACATCGAGATTTAAGATTTTTCATGTGTGCGACGCCGTCAGCGTCCATCTTCACTTTGTAACAATCTCTTAAAAAAATAAAAATGACAAAATTTACCGGTAATACATTTGAATCCAACAATGACCACTGTTACCCCTAAATGCCAAGAGCCCATTGGGGTTTTTTCCCCTCCTTTACAGCTACGCCTCTGACGTGACCTCGGGCCTGAGCGACGGTTACGAGGGAGTGCCGGAGAAAAGCGAGAAAACGGTGGCCAGGCGGACCGCCGCCAAGCTTTTCAGGAGGCGGGTACGCTCCAGGCTGCGCATCACCGGGGTACGATGATGTCACAGTTTGCTGAGTAGTTTTGGACAATTAGCAATTTAGCCTCATCACAAATCGCACGTGTTAACCCCCCCGGCCCCCCACTCCGCTGCAGCTATCTGACAAAGTCGACCGGGTGGTGGAGTGTCAGCTGCAGACACACAACGACAAGATGGTGACGTTCAAGTTCGACCTGGACGGAGACAACCCGGATGACATTGCCGCCGTCATGGTGGGTGACAGGCACCGCCACCCACGTACTTGTCGTAATTCAATTCCCGATTTTTAACACTCAGAAATCACGCTTAATGCACCCTACACCTGATTGAATCTTGAAAAGAAATCCCCCGCTTATCGTATCTTGGCTCTTTACGCGACTGATTGATTTGTACCTCACAAAATGAGTGAGCGTTGATGGTATCTTGGCACGGTCGGGTTGGCACGGAATGAAAGCTTGCTGACAGCTACTCCGTCAGCGAGCGTGTGCGGCACACTGCCGTTACTCACTGGGAGAGATTTTCCTCCCACCCGGGAAGGAGTAATGAGCCAGGAGGAGGAGTACAATTGCCGGCTGGACGCAGAAATAGAACGTCCTGTCCACTTCGCGGTCACAGTACATTTACTCACGCTCTGCACTTAATGATCCATTTGTATGTACTATAAATACAAATGAAGTACTTTTACAAGGGAGAAGCTGGGACTTTGGCGATACATGTCAACACATGAGTGCAACTAAAATGCAACCAAAACAACGCTTGACAGGGAAGTGAATGAGGATGAACATGGCCAACTGCCAAAACAAATCCCACGCATATTACTGTACTTGCATTGGGAGTAAAGCATATTTACAATAGCCGCAAAGTTTTCTTGCTTAACATTTAGAATTAACCTTTTACACAGAACCCACGTCGGAAATGCCTCTAATTGCTGTAGTTGGATAAATGAAGGGGCATCCAACTTTTAGTGGCGAAAGCGTATATTTTAGAGCACAAACAGTATTTGAACGTCGCAGGTGCACAACGAGTTCATCCTGCCGTCGGAGAAGGAGGGCTTCATCTACCGAATGGGCGATATCATCAAGCGGGCGGAGGCGCTCATGGCCAAAGAGCAGCCGGTGCACCCCTGTGAGCAGCGTCCTCCTCAGCCTGCCTTCCACAGCGAAGCCAACCCGCTCTCTTCCTCGCAGGTCAGCGACAGCGTGTGTCTGACAACGGGCCGTTTTGGTTTCTACGCTTCCTCATCGCATAGTCATGATGTCACGGCGTCAGAAGCTCGTTTGTGCGAGCGAGGGTTCCAGGTATCTGCTTTGTGGTAGATTTGCGTCTGAGGTCAGATTCTATTTGGAGACTTTTGGGCAGATAAAGTCCCAAAAGGGAGCTGGACAAACTCACGAGGCCTCGGGATGCAAATAGACACAGACTACAAGAGTTCCTGTGTGATTCAACGTCAAAAAATAAAAAAAATCTTGCTGTTAATCAGTGATGAAGCATCCACATTTACTGTAAATGTAGGAGTGCGTACAGTAACTAAGAAGTAGTTAGTTCACGCCCAGGTTCTCTTTTTATTTTTGCAGCCGGATCTGTACAGTCAGAGCCTCCCACGAACTCACTTCTCCTCCCTGCCCGGTAAATCAGCGATTCATATTTTCTGTGCGACATATTTATGATGTCATCATGTCTCGTTTCACACTCGGGTGTTTTTGTGTGCGCCTCAGACTTCGCTGTGGCTAATCCGCGCGCTGAGGAAGGCACCTCACCTCCGTGCGCCGACGGCGACGTCTTCGCCCCAAACGCGACTTCGCCCGGGCGACCGCTCGTCCGCTCGCAGTCGTTCCACAACGCGCCAGGTGAATGTCGAGAATCCGCCGCCTCAGGGCCCCGCGCAAACACAAAAAGGAACGTTTCAGGGCAAGTGCAAATGAGGAGCAAAACGAGTCCCAGGAAGCACACATGGGATACATTTGCGCTCCCCTCGCAGTCACGATGGTGACGGAATTGCAATAAACAAGGAACAAAACATCTTTGTGAAACCATTGAAGGATGTACGCCCCACACGAAGGCCGAGGAAAGACTGCGCGTAGATTGATTGCACATGTTTGTCTTCCAGGCTCTCCTCTCGCTTACCACCACACCGCCTCCCTCCTGCCCCACTGCCACATGCCCTACATGGGCAACTTCCCGTTCCAGTACAATGCCAGGCCGGCTTCCCCTAAACCGAGGGCCACGGCGGTCGGCGGCCTCCATCCCCCCCTCGCCCGCGCGTCCAGTAGCCCCACTTTTCCATCCGTCCCTTCCCCGGTACCGCCGGGCTCCCCGAACCTCTTGAATGACAGAGAGAGCCCATCCGGGGCGTCGCCCGCGCCCCCGCATCCCTGTATGTGGCCCCCGCAGAGCCAGCCGCTGTTCTCGCTGGCCAACGTCATCTCCATGGCGATGAGCATGGCGCAGTCGTTCATCCCTCCAGCCCAGCAGGGAATGCCCTCCTACGGGGACTTCCACCCGCAGTCGGCGTTCCAGTACCCCCCTTGCTACCAGACCCCCACAATGGAGGTGCCGTACCCCACAAACGTCTACCCGAGCTCTGGGAACACGCCACCGATGGATGTATTCCCTCAATGTTGGCATGACACGTCCCCTGCTACCCCGCCAAACACGCCACTGCAACAGGCCGGATCTCCCGCTTCACCCAGACCCCCTCAGGAGGACCTCGGACCTTTCCTGGGCCAAGTTCCGGTCCTATCTCAAGTGCCCAGTTCGACCTCGTTGTCGGATCTGTCACCCTCGCCAACAGGCAGTCCGGAGAGCACCGTGAGTCTCAATTAGCTGCTTTATCGTCACATTCTAATGCGAAGCAATCGCTTTTATTGCAATTTTATGAATAACACTGAAGCTGGCGTCAGCTCGGGGATTTGCAGGCCTCAACCAAGAAACTCATTATGATTTTTCACTCCTGTCTAGTTATCATCCATCAGCACTCTGTCCGAACTGAACGCCGGAAGTCCGACGGCCCAAAAAGTGTCGCCATTGAGCCCCTCGGGTAAGAAATTGTTCAAATCGTCATCATTTGCCTGTTAAATGAGACGCTTGTTTGCAGGGCAAACAAAAAAAATAAAAAGCACACGTGCTTGTTTATGCACACACAGTGGCCATTGTTTACCTTGTTTTCCCTCTAAATACGTGCCGCTTTTGCTTTTTGACCCGTTTCCTCCTCCTCGCTGACACCACTGCCGATTGCCCCAGGAGCCATTGCGTAATCTCTGGTGCGGTAGCAAAATGTTCCGTCCCGTGTGGGAGTCGTGCCACTGCGGCCCCTGCCCACCGGTGGCGACCAATGGGCGCCCAGACGTGCTCATTTACAGGCGTCCCCCCCCCCTCCCACACCTGTCTGTCTTTCTAGACTCTAAACAAAGTCACTCTGTTTGCATGCGCCCAACCTAAACCCTCACCGTGTGGTTTACTGCTACAAGGACGTCTCGCGGACAGACTGAGGCCGTTGGGCCTTAATTCCACTCTTAAGAACAGGAGAGTACCAGGAATGATAACCGCAGAACTCCATACACTAAACGTAATTGAATTACATGCAAACATAAAATGTTTCCAACGTTACTAGCTTGGAGCTGAAAGCATTACTGATTATGCTACCGTGTAAACAATTTAATTTGACCCAGCAAGCAAACCTAACGTCACAAGCATATAGCCTCAAGAAATTAGTTGTTGAAGAACAATGATTAGCTAGTCAGTCATCTATCCGCTGGTGATTGATTGGTCCCTTGTGATCAAACACTCGACTGATTCGATTAGAAACCGGTCATTGTTGATTCGCCGCGCACGATCACATCAACAGCCCCTACACGTTCCTCCTCGTGAACTGCGAGAGAAACTATAGACCTAAAGAGGAGCCAATTATGAAGACGTTTTCCTTTTCGCGCTCAGGAGGTCCGGCCGCTCCTGTGACGGTGGGCCGTTTCCATGTGTCGCCCAGCGCCGACGACCCGGTCGTTGCCTCGCTGCCACAAGGGGACACAAGCAGCACCGAAGAAGGGCACGGCCAACCCGAGAAAAGCCTGGGTGCCTCCATCCCCATGAGGGAGGAGGAAGAGGAGGAGGAGGTGGCGGAGGAGCGCCCGAGGGTGAGGAGACGCGGGCGGAGGCGGGCGCACAGCCTCAGCCTGATAGGCACGTCCGCGGACAGCGGGCTGTCGGTGACGACGCCCGAGGCAGAAGGCCGGCTGTGGGACGGCGCGGCCGGCAGCCCGCAGTACGGCAACGCACTTCACCACCTGTGGACCATGACCTACAATCACAACGCTTCCTACATGAGCAGCGATGACTCGGACAGCGACGACGACAAAGACATGCTGGATGAGCTCCAGGAGCTCCGAGAGAAGTGAGTGACTATTGGGGTTCCAGGTCGGATCACTGCCCCAGCTGGCTCCTACGAACCTGGACTGTACTGCACGTTTATCCAGACGTGCACCACTATTTGAGCTTGAAGTCACGTATTAACGCGCATTCCTGTGGTTACAGACATCTGTCTGAGGTTCAGGAACTTCAAGCAGCTCAGAAGCGGGAGATCGAGGATTTGTATGAAAAGATGGGCAAAGTCCCCCCACCGGGCATCGTTTCCCCGGCCGCTATGTTGTCCAGCCGTCAACGTCGCTTGTCCAAGGGTGCGGGGGGCTTGCCGCCGTCACGCCGGAACAGCCTCCAGCGCTTGGACATGCAGCCCATCCAAGGTGACGTCACGTCGGACAAGTGGTTGCTATGATACACTTCAAAGCCACTATGGAGCTTACTTGCATTTTATCGGGTAGGATTGGGGGGTGAATGCATTTTATAGATTAATTACTAAGAAATAAATACAGCCAGGCTTCTTCGGGGAGGCTGGAATGGATTCTTGGCATTTCCATTCATTTCAAGGAGGACAGAAAAAATATTTCCGTTCATTTTAAGGCCACATCACCCAAGTCCTCGATTGTGATGTGTTTAAATTAATTTCTAACATGTAACATTTTAGGGATCATCAGAAGAAACTCTTTGGGAGGAAGCAGCAGCAGCTCCCAGGACAAACACAGCAAAGGCGTCACCTTCGCCTCAGACATTAGCAGAATGGTGAGAGCCTGTGTGCTGGTGCACTTCCCCTTCCTGATTGCTTGGTTTATGATCTCACTTGCATCTCTTTCCCAGTAAGAACGAGCAATCGTTGAATAATCCGGACTACCTCATCTGACGGCATCCTGAAGTTGAAGGTTGGGGTTTTAAAGAAAATGACATTGAACGACATGCCGCAGCCCATCCTCCAAAATGTTCAGGAGTTTAATTTGACACATTTTGGGAATAACAAGTCATACCTGCTCAGTGAAGTGGACACCAGTTGATTCCATGCTTTCAGCGCCTTCCAATTGCATTGTACATGTTTTGTTCTTTTTTTTTCTCCCCAATTTCGTTTTGACGCCAGCCATCCTGTGACAGGCAGAGATGAGAACCCGTGAGATGGCTGAAGAAAAACCATTGAAACGCACAAACCTCCGCCAAGGAGCGAACAATCAATTTTGAATGTCCTTTTAGAAGATCAGAAATGTAACAAAAGTGCATTTTCATTGCGTTTTTATGAGGGGAAAAATGTTGAGACTCACTGAAATTCAAAACCCGGACTTCCATTGTGTTATACGGGGATGAAAAGGATGATTGAGAAAATAGACGTTAAACCTTAATTGTCGGGGTGGGGTGGTGTACCCGCAAAACCTAAGGGAATGGGGCGGGGGGTCCAAACATGGATACTAATGTGCTAAAATACACCAAACAGATATAAGGCACATTAACCGAGGTAAACGAGGCACGACTGACAATTTGCGCTAAGCCAATTTAGCTAGCGCCAGCTAATGCTAACGCTAGGGCAAGTCCATCGATAGTAACAACAGGAATTAAACTCAACCAATAAATGAACACGACACATGAAATGATAATGCCACTTACCTTTCATGGACGCACAATGGAGAAGGCCCAAAACTCTTGTTTTCAAACACCAAAACCTTCGGCGGATCGTAAATCTCTTAATGGCGCCCCACTCTGTAATTGCCAAACAGCGGGTTACGCTCCCTCTTCCTTTTCCGTCTCGCTCGACCGCAACGATATGAACCACAAAAAAATATCAGTGAATGGTCATTGACCCGAAAAAGTCGGAAATCCGGGAAATTGTCATCTTTTATTTTTGCGTTAAGGCTCACAATTTAATTGGGTCATTCCCACGAGTGCAACTGGACTGGAGCAGCTCAATCTCGGTCGTGATACTGAGCTAAATCATGATTAAAATGATTTTAAGTAAATACAAAGATCCTATTTAAATAATTCATGAGTGATCACACGTTAAAATGCCTAAACTTAATTATGAATTCAGTGAAATACAAAAAGAAAAATCTTTTTTTTCACTGATTGTTTTAGTGAAATGTCATGCTTCTTCAACCAACCATCCATTTTCTAATCCGTTTATTGTCACGAGAGTCGCGGGCGTGCTGGAGCCTATCCCAACTGTCTTCGGGTATGCATGTTTTTGGAATGTGGGAGGAAACCAAAGTACCCGGAGAAAACCCACCCAGGCACGGGGAGAACATGCAATCTCCACAAAGGAAAAGCTGGAGCCAGAATCGAACCTCTGCACTGTGAGGCGGACGTGCTAACCAATCAACACTGTGCCGCCTTCTATGACCATACGCTCAAAATAATTGCAGATCAATATGAAATGAAGGGACATGAAAAATGTGTGCAGACAAATGTTATTTTTACGTGACTTTAATTTTCTCTCTCCTTGGCGGAGGTAATCGAGCCAGTAAAAGATGCAAATACAAATAATATCCAATATGTAATACTACTACTACTGGCTTTTCAAACTGTAAATATATCATATGTGTGTGCATACAGTAGACTTCATTTATAGACTGTTTACACAATTAATCATGAAAAAAAAACCTGTTATATATAAATATACATTTTAGTTTATTAGAGTAGATCAATCAAGCACCTCATGCACTTTAGCATTTTCATTTAAACACACCTTGTCGGTCAAACTGTGTTCATTCATGAAAATAACAAAACAAGGGAGAATGTCCAAGCTGTCAATGTGCCTTTTGAATATTCACACTGGACATTGAGAAAAATCAAGTAATATATTCAAAATATTTGGAAAATAAACAATGTGCAATGCAAAATAAATGCTGCTGCCATCTGTGCCTTTTTCCACCTCTTATGCTTTAGAGTCTAATTTTATATTTCTCCTCCTGCATTGGATGTTCACTGAAGTGGATTTCCCAGCTCAATAAAAGCCAATTAAAAAATACCCAGTGTGTTTTTTGCTAAACAAAATAAATCAGGTTTATTCTATATATCACTTCACCAACAGAAATACAGTTGCGTACAACCATTTTGTGTTGTTTTAAGTGCTGTCATTTTGCATTGTCCTCTCCGAAGGTCACTTAATACCTTGCACAAAGTAGCTGCAAAAAAAGACAGGAATTACTTCTTCTGGAAAGTTCAGGCCAGCGATAGGAGTCCAGGGCTTTCTTTGAGATGAGCAAAGAAAGGCCAGTTGAGGTGTCCACTGAGGATCTGGACTTTAGAACCTTCAGTTAGAACCTGTCCTTGGCGCCCGGGCACGCTTGGCCTCCTCGTCCATCTCATCCATGATGCGCTCTTGGGAGACAGAGTAAAACGTGTAGCCATCTATATATGGGAGCCAGCGATTAAGGGAGGTAATGTTAAAAATAATGGATATGAAAAAACATACAAAACAAACAAAAACGAAATCTGGATATAAAGACTGCAAATTGTAACAAATAATTACATCGAATGCACGTGCTGAATAAAACAACACTTCTGTGCAAAGAAAATATTGCTCAATTTACTAATAAAAACATCTATTCTCATGTTTATGACTTGAAAATAAATAGCCAACACATTTTTAAATGTATACTGTACAATTTCCGCAGGATATATCTATTCATTCTTGCACTAAAATGGTTAAACTGTGAAAGACATTTTGAATATTGTAGTTCAAATAAATCAAATCAATGAAATGAATCAATTAAAAAACGACATTTCAATCAACGAACGGTTATTAATGCAACAAATGACTAGATTGGAGAAAACAGCATTGCCTATTAATCTAATGAATTTATTTATATTTTAATAATCAGTATTGCAAACATGCCAATTCAAGGTGTTTCCAAACTTAAAAAAATAAAAGGTAAAAAATATATCTCATCGAAGTCGAAATTTTGTTTGCCATGAGTTCACCTTGTGTTGACGTTAGCATTTAGCATTAGCAAAAGGATACAGATGCCCAGCACTAGCGCCCCAATGGCGACCCCAGTCAGCACGTTACGCGCACGCATCTTCTGCGTCTTCTTCCTCCACTGCTCCAGCTCCACCTGCTTGATGAAGTGCAACTGCTCCCGGGACAGTTCCTCTTTACTCGGGTCTATCCTGGTCGCAAACGGGGCGTCAGACCGCTTCGGTGTCTTGTCTGCCATGTTTGTCCGGCTAGTTTGCTAACCTGCTTGTTTCGCAAGTTTGTAGTTGCAGATTTGCAAAGCATCGAAACGGTGGACGACCCTACGCACAGTCATGCGAAAGAGCACATCAAGGTTATTTTCAGATCTAGTCGCTGCGATGCAGCTATTAAAAAAGTCCGGCGAGAAACAATCACCTGAACGAAATAAATTGGTTCCCTCCGGATGCACCCAGCGCCTTCGAATTGCATACGGCACAAACTGCAAGGAAACAGCGCTATCTTGTGGAAATACGATTGAGGCAATATAATCACGACCAATTGAAACTAAACTGCATTAATTGAGTGGCAACGACATTTTAAATAGGAAGTGTCCGACAAAAGGCAATCGACGGCGTCACAAATGGCGACGAATCTAGCGAGTCCTCAAAGTTTAAGGTTTAGACAGGCCTCAGTGGAGATGCTGACGGACTTTCTCACCAATCTCAACGAGAGAAATAAAGATAACCTCCGCAGTTTGTCCACCTGTGGCGGAGGCTTCAAGGATAAAAGACTATTTGGTGAAAAGCACAGCACCTCCACATTTTTACAAACAAACAGCTAAAAACAATCAAAGGCAAAGCAAATCTAAAGAAAAGTAGCATACTAAGAATCAATGAGATAACGTATATTGAGAACAATTAGACACATCTCCAAAGAAAAGCACAACCGCGTGTACTGTAAATAATATTTCCCTGTCACATATCAGCTCCCTTTGCTGACGCTCATGTTTCTGCAGAATACACTTTGCTGATGTGTCAAGAGCTCCGACTTGACCTGGCTATTGCTTACCACGCCGTCGAATTACTTCAAAGGTACGAAAGGGTGGCCGTTTTTGCTTGAGTTTAAAAAGAGCCAAAATTACTCCGAAGCTGCACTTCAGTAGATGTACTGAACCTTTAGTTTAAAAAAAAGGATAATGTAATGGTAATTTTTTTCCCCACCCCAAATATAGCACTTGTGGTATATGAGATTTTTTTTTTCAAGGCTGACCAATCAAATGGAAGCAATTTTTTTCCCCCCGAATTGATGCCGATGTGAAAACAATTAACAGTTCCGGCTAAATTGGTGCTGGGATTAAAAAGTTTTGTTTGGGTTTCTCAGGTTCATGGTCAAGCACATTACGCATTTGCTGACACCCGGAGGTTCGAGCGCGGCCGAAGTGAAGGCCCACGAGAACGCTGCGTTCGAGCAGATCCGGGGGAGCTTCGCCTTGATCGTGTTTTCCTGTGTGCAGCTAGCCAGCAAGTTGTCACTGCACAGCCACGTAAGGCAGGAAACAATTTACATCCTCAGTCACACACCTTCAAAACATGCCTTAACCCCCTTCCCAGATCGTCGACGTCAACAAGGCCGTCCGCTTTCTGCACTCGATCGGTCTCGACTTCTCCAAACAGGCCATTCTGGAATCGGAGCTGATGGTGCTGAAGGGGCTGCAATTCCGACTGGACCCGCCCAACCCTCTCACCTATGTGGAAATACTTCTGGAGGTGCTGGGTAGGGCTGGGCAGTTTGGCCGTAAAAGAAAATCTCAGGAATTAAAATCACTTTTGAAAATAAAAAGTCACTAGTCTTGTTGCAAAAGTTACTTATATGGCAACACCAAAGGTGATTCTGTATATCAGCACCTATGTTGTGAGTGCAACTAACATAACCACGGAAGCATCCCACATCCCCAGGCCACAATGAGCCGAGCGCCCCTGTGGAACGCCTGCACCAGATGTGCCGCCACGTGCTCCAGTTTGTCAGTTTGCAGCGTGAAACTTTTTACAACACCCTGCTGACCATCACCACGCAGACCCGCAAACCTACCGCGGAGCAGAGGTACTGTACAGTGCCGCTTCTAGAACCTTTTTAAGACTGGCCACAACGTGCTTGTTTTCTCATCTGAGCAATACTGACAGAAAACAATGTGGGGAAAAGACACATTTGTGAAAATCAATGAAAAGCCTTCAAAATGATGTTCTCGTGATACTACTTACAATGTAAAGGCTGCATGACACCCTCCCAGAGAGAAGTTTGTGCCAGTGACAGAAGATTGCATGCTGCTTGGCGTGGGCGTCATCGCCGCCGCCGCCTTCATCCTCCACGTCAGAGACTGGGAGCAGGTGAAGATGTTTGAAATCCCCTCTCGCAAAGGAGTCGGCGTTAAGAGCGCCGCTGTTGTCGCTCATCGTTGGGATTTTGCGGTGCAGGTGGTGCAAGAATTGAGCCACATCACGGGAATCTCCACCACCAGCATCGGAGATTTCACCCGCGTCACGCTCACGCTCATCGTTGGGACGCCCAGAGATGGCCAGTGATGAGTCAAATGATTTCTTGTGCTCATATTTATTTGCGCTGTTGTTTTTTTTTTCTTCGCAAGAACCATTTACAGTTCATTGAAAGTTCATAAAATACATGATGTTGCTCATCCTTTGGCATGCTAGGCCTAGCACTTGTTTGTACACTTTCATGTCAATTCGAAGTTTGTTTGGGGATCTTGAAAAGTAGGAAGTGGTAGGACTAAGTTGAACGACTCATGCAGCTGAAAGTTTTTTTTTTCTCCACAATTTTGTTGTACTATGTCAATTTATTGCAAACTGAATAAAACATTTTAAAGTCCTTTTTCAGGTTGTCATGACAAATGTCCAAGAAGCACCAAGTCAGAACATCATCAGAATAAAATACAGGCAAGACACATTTGACTTGTGCTACAAAAAAAAAAAAAGAAGATTCTATCAAAGTCAGCCAACTTTTGAGTAAAAAGTAAAAACGACCCATCTTGAAACAAAGGCATAACAGACCGCTTACTAATCAAGCAGACGAGCTTATCGTGTCCACGCCAAATGTGCATTCATGCTCTCATGAAATAGCAAAAGAACACTAAAGCATTCTCACGTACGAGGAGCGACGTCGGCGAGGATGACGTACATTTCGGGCGCGTGTCTAGAATTCATCGTCCGAGCTCAGCAGGAGGGTTTTCTCTGTGTCCCCGTGGGCACCGATGGAGCGCGAGACGGGCGGCGCGACGCCCTGCTCCAGTGTGGACTGCTGGGTGTACTGTTGGTAGGCCGGCGAGAAGTTGTGAATGGCGTCCTGGACCATGTCGCCCGGGTTCATCGTCTCCTTCAGGCTGCTGGAGATGCTCTTCATCGGGGCGCAGCTGCCTGCGCAAGCAGACAAAAGTCCAAATTTGCGACGGGGGATTTCAGAGTGACAGTTGGATGGACAACACAGTTTTAACCCTTTCGGGGACAGCGGTGACTACAGTTGGACAGCTTATCGTGTTATTAGGTTCCGGGGGGGTGAAAGGGTTAAATAGAGAATCTTGAAGAGCAGAAACAGTCTGTGTGTAACCTACCAAACTCTCCACTGGTAGGAAGGGGTCCTTCAATACGCGGCGGAGAGGAAAAAAGGAAAATGAAGGTTTGTGTAAGAACACGAGAGAAGAACAACACTCGGGTGGGACAATGTGGGCAAAAAGGAGAGAAAGGCAAAAGTCATAAAAGTAGCTCGAAAAAGAATTTGAAAAGTGAGGCGTGGGAATACTGCCACATTTGACGCCCCCCCCCCCCCTCACCTTGTGCGCTCATACTTTTGTCCATGTAGACTTTGTACGTGAAAGCGAAGCGCAGGACCAGCGCAGCAAAAAACATCTCGATGCAAATGATGAAGTTCTGGTAACCGGCGGCGACGGTGCCCTCGCCGACCGACACCTCCACCGAGTTAATCTGGGGGATGGCGCCGCACTTCTCCATGATGGCCAGAAACACACCTGGTGTGAAAATCAAAAGCAAGTTTCTCCTTCAATGACACGTTTCAAGACTCTCTTCTAGATTTTGGGCCAGAGTTGCGCGCACCTTGCCAGAAGGAGAGGAAGATCACCAACTTGACCATGACGAACTTGAGCATGGGCCCGTAAGGTCTGAGCAGGTCGCGGGTGGCAAAGTAAAAGAGGAAGAGGGCGTACATCGACAGGCTGACTGAGATGTTGCAGATGATGGTGACGTAGATGTAACCGCTGGCGGCGCTGTGGAATCGACAGCGAAACACAGGAAAAATAGCTGCAATCAATTTGTAAAAATGCCCGACGTTCCGCACTTTTTGACAACCATCTCCGGGCCAAATTGCATTTTGGCAGTTTTAAACGTGCATCCAAAAAAATAAAAATAAAAAATTCAATTAACCACGCCCCCAAAAGTCAGCCCGTCACTTACTTGAAGTCTCCGTCTTTGTATTTTCCGTACGCCTGCAGGATGACGGTAATGGTAGCCATGAGCGGCTTGACCACGCAGAACTGCAGCGTGGCCTGCTTGCAGAAGCGCAGGAAGCCGATGGAGTAGGCCTTTCCCTTCAAGCAGCACGTGCCGAACATGCAGCTGGACCTGACAGCGCGGGACAAATCGCAAACAAACCTTCACAATCTCTTCAAATTAAAAAAAAAAAAGGTTTTGTCCATGACAGGGTTAAATAAATGATTGTCAATAAACGGGCGAGACTTACTCGATGGGTTTCCCTCGGATCTCTGCCATGATGGCGCTCTCTCCTCCAAGGTATTCGTAACACAAACTCAGGAAGTTGTAGATCACAAACGCTTGGGGACACAACAAAAAAAAAAGACATTTTGTTATTTATACTTCCGACACAGCCGCAAGGATCTTCCCTCTTTTCTGTGTGCTGTACAATCCTGTCGAGCTGATGATTGTGTAATCAGTCGCATGCCAAAGTGTGAAAATGTGGCATTTATTGGGGGCGCGCCAGGTGCGTGCATGGGGCGCCTTTCGCCGCAGCTGCGCTCCTGCCAGCCTTTTGTTGTTACGTCATCTCTTTTGAGTTATTCATTTCTCCCGCTGTTAGTTTGACTTTGGAAAAAAAAAAAAAACCTCCACCGTAGCGTTGACCGACTGATCTGTTTTGCGTCGCTCTGGCTTAGTTGTTTACCCATGTGTTCACATCTCCCCGCGGACGGATGCCTTGTCCGCCAAGCCGGTTGCCACGGCGATACAGTAGGCGGGCATACAATGAGAACTTTGCAGGCAAGTTGGGTTGAGGGGGGCAAAAAAAAGCTTATCCAGTAGCTGAGAACCATTTCGGAGTGCCGTTGCCATGCAACAGTCCAGTCATCCTTACTCAGGGGAGCACCAGGTCAGGGCTCGGTAACTCGGTATTTTCAAAAGAATGACGCAAACACAAATATTGGGACAAGGAGAGAGAATATGAGGGTGGGTAAACTGTCAAGACACTTGTACTGTTGGGGTTCAACTTTGGATTTTAAATGGACAAAATCCAAACTGTCAAGTCGGGCAGTAGTATTCACATGCTAACCGTCGCGACCAACTTTGCCAGCGTCACTATTGCAACAGATAGATAAGCAAATACACATCTCTGGTGCTATCGCAAATGAACAGAAATATAGTCAGGGTGGATAACCAAAACAAAAAAAAAAACGTTGCGTTTTTGTACACGAGGGCGCGCCAAGCTTGTCGGTGAATTCGAAGCTCTTTCGGATTTGACATCAGCATAGATTTTGAGGCGACGATCGGGATTAGAAAGTGAAATGAAGCTTGTCAACTCAAATGGAAGGGAAAGAAATACTAACATGTTGGAAGTTGGACAAGTTGAGGCACCTCTCACCCAAAATAAATAAATAAATAAATAAATCAAATTACCCCCGAAAACGTCAGGGGGTCAGAATGACCATCATGTTTCAAATGCTGATACTTGCCCTAAAAACCCGACTTGTCTAGCACAACTGGAAGCTTAATGGTTGATTATTGTGTGTGCCTTCAAAAACACAACAATCCAAATAAAAAGCAAAACACTTGACAGCGTTTCCTGGCCCCAAAAATGCTCACTTTTCCACATGTTGGGATTGCGCCACACAACATTCATCTCACAGTTTTCAAACGGGGAACTGAATGGGGCTCTTTGTGAGATAAAAAGCTCTTTGTGGCCGAACTAATCAATTAGCAATGGATGGACAGATTGTTCCTCTCCAGATTTGATAACAGCATGTTTCAACTCAACTGGAAAAGTCGCCCACGCCGGGCTAGAAAGGATTTCAACCCTTTCAGGGACAGCGGTTACTACAGTGGACAGCTTGTCGTGTTATCGGGTTACAGGGTGCGCACTTTTTTGCGGGGCAACTTTGCATCCTGGGCCAAGTTTGCTCTTACCCTCGTAGCAGTCCCTGACGGTGTCAAAGTACACGTAGTACTGGTCGTTGGTGAAGAAGAGGAGGCTGAGCCAAGAATCGATGGCGTAGATGGGGACGATGAAGAGGATCCGGACAATGTGTCGCTGCTCCCGGGGGGAGCTATAAAAACGCAGGTGCATGTAGATCTGGAAAAAAAACAAAACAACAAAAAAATACTGGTGGAGAGAGTAAATATTTGATTGTGCCATACTACGCTCATGACAGAAAGTAGTCGTCATTGATAATTGGAGGTGGCTGCAATTGCGATTCATATTGGAGTGTCTTTTTTTTTTTTTTAACAGACAACTCGAGTCTCAGTGTATGCGTGTGTGTGTTCATGCTCCGTATCACATACACCTGCTGAGGGATGTTGCCGAGCAACCCGTGCTCGTCGCTGGGCCCTTGCAGATGTGTGTTTACCTTTTACAGGACGAGTGCCGCAGTCATGGGGGCGGGGAGGCCTCCCGCCCCCGACGGTCGACTTTTCGTGCCAAAGCTTTACATAGAAATTAATCAAGGTGCAAATGGATTTATTTAGCCCACCTAAAAGTGAGATCATGCACATGATCTCTTGCGCCATGCTAACAGCCATCGGGAATCACCGCTCGAGAGTTTGCCTTGAAGAGGCGCTTGCTTACCTGGTGACAGGTGAGGATGAGGGCGGTCCAGACGAAAAATCCCGTCACGGCCTGGGCCGTGGGGGTCATCAGGAACGTGGGCTGGTCCTGGCTTAACAAAGGGGCATCGCGGAGCCAGGAGATGTTGGGCCCTCCTGGGGCCGGCGTCGCCGGTGAGCCTGGCACTTCACCCAATGGGGAGCCTGCCCCCAGCCTCTCCGAGAGGGGCACGTCTCGTCTCCACAGCCTCTGCATCTGCGGATTAAAAAAAAAAAAAAAAAATGTAAATCAATTTAACGACTATTGATCAAGAGTGACATAACTTTTCCGCCATTAATCATCAACCTGGTTTCAAGATTGATCATTTCTCATTTGTGTAATGTGTAATCCAAGACCAAAAACAAAAAAACACAGGGATCCGTACAGAAGGATCGCAAGTCAATATGGGCGTCATGTGGACAAGAATGTGTGACTCACACGGACAATGGCACCTGTGTCCCATTGCAGAAAAAAAAAAAATTTCCATCAATCCTGACTGAATCACATACCTCAGTTACTGTCATTGTGGTTCTCACTTGGTCACTTGAGCTAGTTCAGCGTGTCAAAAGGCAGTAGGACAAGCAACATCAATGCACACTCCAATATTGTTCAGCCTTTCATTCATGACACCATAAAGCATGATATGACTTGTCTGGTCTCAATCTATGACATCATTGTCCCACAAAAAAAAAAAAACAAACTGGTATTTTCTTGTCAAACTTGATTGGAAAGGGGGACAGTCAAAGTCCCCCTTTGACAGCCCAAAAGACCATTGAAAGTTGTTGCCGGGGGGTCGAAGGATGAAGGCCGTACTTTGCATACAATAATGCTCCGTCAGCCATGCATGTACTTTACTTCCGGGCCTTATGTATCCAAAGCGTTCCCTGTTTTGTGAGAAAATAAGATTACATCTCCAGATGAGTATTATTCTTGTTTTGAAAAGACCCAATATCGGACGATTGATTGGCCATGCCCTCCTGTCCGTAGAAAGTCAAATAAACAGGACTATGAAGGCATTAAAATCAAATGTGGGTACTAGGACCCGCAATGTATGAATCCACCCAACGTAATCAGATTACAGTTTGGTAAGGCAACTAAAACAATTTCTCCCAGAGTCATGCAGCAATGGATCACAAGTCTCCTAACTGACACAACAACAACAACATCTGGACACAACACGAGCCTATGTAATAAAATTGGGCATCTTAATAAAATAGATGGCGTTATTCTGTCGCCTTTCTCTGGGGGATTGAGGGGTTTCTCTCCATAGTTTCTCTGCCCGAGTGTGCACGACGGGGTCATTTGTGCTGGTTTGCCAGCGATCAGCAGATGTACACATAAAAGAGAAGTGGAGGCATCAGCAGTCAGTCACATACACATACGTGGATGACTGAGGGGCTTGGGACATCTGCGTGTTGAAATAAAAAAAAAAAGGCAAATAAATCACGCACGCGCAGGGATAGAGGCATCAGCAGTCAGTCACATACACACATACGTGGATGACTTTGGGGCTTGGGACATCTGCGTGTTGAAATTAAAAAAAGGCAAATAAATCACGCACGCGCAGGGATAATAATCTGTGTGTGTCATAAAGTCAGGGCTCAGTTTGCAACAGATGGAATGGGACATATGGAGTAGGGGGCGGAGGGGTGGGGGCTGTTTATCAACATAATGAAAATAAATGCGTGGGGTGACCAGCTGATTCCAAAAACCTAACTCCATGTTTTTGAAATGTGCGACTAAACGACAAAAAAAAAACACAACAGAGTCTCACCTTTGCTCGTAATTGCTCGTGAAAACAAAGCCTACGTGGAACTTGAAAACCTGGAATTGAGAAACGAGCGTTTTTTATTAGTACTCACGTGCGTTATTTGATTGTACACATGCGCTTTAAGTCTGAACTTACCAAATGAAAATCATCCAATGCCTCGCGGGACAAGTTTAACTGTCGACCCCGAAATAGCCCGTAAACGGCCTTAATTCCAGCTCAGAGCCGAACCGTCGCGCCCCCGGACATCCATGTTGAGCGCTCGCCGATCCGTTAACCTTCGACTTTTGCTCACCTACTCTTTCCCTTTCATGCTTCACAGCTTGTACGTTACCATTCGTGCGCACCCGTCCCCACTTTTAACACCAGCGTTTGTCCGTCAAGTGCTCCAAAAGGCGAGACGGTTAAATTCTCATTCGCCTGTGGTCCTCTCCTTCTCCCTCAAGACTTTGGGTCGACCGGGGTAATCATACAGTCCCCGCCCACTCAGCTAGATCCAGACGACACAGCCAATCACGGCCCGGGTAATTTAATAACACGGAAATAGTTGTGCATACGAGTCTAAAGCTATATTTTATTTTGTTTTTAATTTTAAAATATTTAATCCGTACATAAACACTTTGAAAATAACGAATAATAAGACAAATATTTGTAGGCTGTAATACTTTCGTGAATTATCACTAATTAACCTGCTAAATGTGCGAATAGACCTACAGTACTGCTTTCTTTTTTTTGTGGGGGGTTGCTTTCCTAAAATGTTGACGTTCATATACTTCGATGCTATCACTGCCTGCAAAATTTCATGTATGGTCAAACCAAAATTTCAATAAAATGTTTTTGAAAAAAAAAACAGCAGCAGCTGTTTGTGACGTCATGCACGCTGTGTTCATGACATCACTAATCCACGGTCGAAAGAAGAGTTTGATTCATCTACAACTGCTTCAAACAACAAGGCGTTACGTAAGAATAGTTGTTATGATGGCATTCTTGTGCAAGTTTTATGCTGTGTGTTCTGTTGTGTTATTTTGATTTATATTTATTTTATTATTTGTTTTTAATGTAGTGAGTGAATGTCATCTGAAAATAAACACTCGGGTGACATTCAACAGGTCAGCATGTACATCTTTTTTTAATGATTCTTAAAATTATGTACAAATATCAGAGCAACGAAATCAAAGCACAGTAAAGAAATGCACAAGACATCATCAGATCTAGACATCAGCCTTTATAAATTCATTTCTGTTTGACATTATAGGGATAACCATGTTCTTCTGGTACATTCTGGCAATTGTCATTAACATTTTGCCCAAAGAAAACTAACTGTACGCATCACACAACATGAAAACAAAAAACAGCACAGTACATCCATCAGCAAGATTGCTTAACTTACACATTGGCATAAGAAGTCGTCATAACATTCATTCGGTGAGCTTCGCTCCTCATTCCCTCTTCACATTGTCTACTTTTAATACCTCATAAGAGAGAAAATGTCTGCTCTTTTTTTGTGTGTGTACATTAATGTAATTCCTCATTCCTTCATTTTATATTTTGGACTCCAGAGGCAAAGCCTGGTGATGGACGATGATGATAACAGACCGACATTTTAGTCTATTTCTAAGAAAGATCTAAGGACACAACCAATACATGTCTGACTGCCATGCCGGCTGATTTGATTTTTATATGAAAGACATCAATATGCAGCATATTTAACTCCTTAACATTAGCATTTAGATTGTAGTTTATTCCAGCTGTAAACCACGGAAACCTGAAAGTTTGTGCAATTGGATGTACTGTACCATGTGTATCTTTCGCACGTTGAAGTCTATGTGACGTGATAATTGGTTAATGTCACTCCCCCCCACCTCCAAACTGCACCTTATAAAGAGTCAAAGGCCAGTATGACTGAAGTTTGTTTTGTTTTTTTTTTCCTGGCCCACTGGTTTCCATCATTGAAGCGTTACTTCGGCTCCTTCTGGTCACCAGAGCTCACACACGGACACCAGTGACCTCCCCGTTTAGGCGCCTGCGACGTCTCCTCTTCCCGCTCCTGCACTCACTCCCGCTTATATGTATCCTTTAGAAAAGCGAGGGGTATACTGTCGTTGATTCCCCTCCAGTCGCTGGATGACGACGGAGAAAACATCAAAAGTACCATTTGAGACTAAATTTCGTTTGGATCTTCTCCATTGACACCGATGCAGACGTTTGTGTATCACGTGTCTTCTTACCTGCCTCTGACCAGCAGGAAGAACTCACTTTGCCAGATGTTCAAATGGCACACTGACCTGAACACGGAGTGGGAGGGGGGATAAAATAATCGAGGTTCGGGTATGTAAATGTAAATCTGCGGTCAGGCTTCCACGTCTCATCGTACCTGCGATGCGGTGATGCGCGATTGGTCGAGGCGCGTGGAGAGGTCAGCGGCCGACGCGTTGGCGGGGGCGCCGCGATGCAACCTCATGGCCACTTTGCGCTCTCGCTCCACCCGTTCCGCTCGGCCCACCTGAGGAGAGCGGTTACCTGTAATGCAAACACCTTGAATTAATTAAAAAATATATAAAATAAAAATAGGACATCTTCCCTCCAGCATAGTGACGCTCGCCACTGTCCTAACCTGACTGCTGGACCCCTCGTGTGACCGCTTTCGACTGAATGACGTCTGGTTCGTTCTTGACTCGGTTGGCCGCTGAAGGTTTGGGTCCAGACGGCAAAGCTTGACCCCCACCGAGCCTTTGAGCTTCCCCCGCACGGTCCTCTTCATCCTTTTCCTCCTTACGTTCTTTATCTCCATCTTCCGCCGTCCTGCCGGCCCCCTGAAAAGCAGCACATTTAAAAATCTTTTTTTTTTTTTCAGCGACGTATCGTTGACGTCTCGGAAGCACTTGTCGTCAGGAAACGGTGACACTCACAAACTTGAGCATGCTCCAATCAAAGACGTAGTCATAAGAGAAGCCCTGTCGGTGGAAAAGGTTCCTGAAGAGCTGCCTCAGGTACGAGTAGTCCGGCTTGTCGTCAAAGCGCAGGGAGCGACACAGGTTCAGGTAGGTGGAGAACACAGCTGGGGAGACAAAGAGAGAATCGGTAGATGCTTTGGAGCACAACAAAATAAGCAAAAAAAAAAAAAAATGCCTCCTTTAAGTCCATCGGCTTGATTGACTGTTACCGCAACTTTACGGTTTATTAAGCAGAGTCAATCCTTGCCACTGAGCTCCGTTCAAATCCTCCGCAATCCCTCTTACGCGTTCACTCACAGGGGTAGCCCTTGCACAGCACCTCAATCGGAGTGGACATTTTCTTCTCGCTGATGCGTTCATATTTCTGCCGCTTGGTGGCGGCCTTGAGCCCCTGCCAAGGCAGCGAGCCCAAGTTGAAGTACATGAGGACGTAGCCCAGCGACTCCAGGTCGTCTCGCCTCGATTGCTCTGCGGAAAAAGAAAATGGACAATGATGCGACGGCTCCACAAAATAATAGCGCACAAATGTGTCACGTATACATTTTGAGCGGTTAGCTAGTTTGTTGGTTAGCGTTCTGATGTCTTACCAATGCCCAGGTGGGTGTTGATGGAGGCGTAGCGGGCGGTGCCGGTGAGGTTTTTGTTCTCTCGGTAAGGAATGTGCTGGTGCGTTCGGGCGTCGCGGTATTTCTTAGCCAGGCCGAAGTCGATGATGTAGACCAGGTTGCCCTTCTTGCCGAGCCCCATCAGGAAGTTGTCGGGCTTCACGTCTCGGTGGATGAAGTTCTTCAGGTGGATGTATTCGATCCTGCTGATCTGGTGCAGACAAAATGTGGCTTAAAAAAAAAAAAAAAAAATAATGGAGGCCCGTGGAAGAAACAACACGCCGGACAAGTGGTTAAGCTGCGGCACATATTCGAATGCCCTCCGACCTCAAAACAAGCGATGGCAGAAAGTAAAAAAGGACACAACATGTATCTTGTCTTTGTTTGCTCTTTGGCGAGACAATAAACTGGGATCAAAACAACATCTCTCAGCCTCGTTGTTTTTCGCCCTTGACGGAGGTAATAAATCGTCCATTTGCTCGGCTGCTGAACGCGGCGAGAGACCGATTTCAAACAAGCCATAATTCAGAAGACTAAAGCAGAGGAGTCGTTGGGATTGAGACAGCGGAGACAAAAAGAGGTCATTTGAAGAAGGTGACTCTTGACAATTTGGAGACTTCATTGAGCCCAACGTGTTTTGGTTCAACCGTGAGGCAGACACGCAAATCACTGTGGCGGGCCAATTCAACTCTTCATTGTGTCAAATACATCCGAACAAAAGTTAAATAACACAAAGCACAAACTGTAGATGACCGCACAAGAAGATTAAGCTTATTTTTGAATTGTTGAGAATACTGATTGGATGAGCCGTGTTCCAATAGCAGAAACGGGCTTCTCGGCGAAGATGAGGATTAATCCCGATTCATTTTCATCTGAATGATCCGGTTAGTTCCAGGCTAAAATTAGCTTCAGCCTTTCTCTTCTTTTTTTTTTTTTTTTCCTTTTCTTTTATTTCTATGCAAGCCTGAGGTCGACTCAGGGGTATCCCATCAGCCACAAGCTCCGATAGCGGACTTCAAATTTTACTTGCGTAACAAATCAAAGTTGGATATTCACAAGGTTGGGAAATTAAAATGACTTTCGTCTTAATGGAAAATTCTAAGAACATCGACAAATACACTCCGAGAGTTACCTGATGAGTCACACTTGTCATTCGTTTATCAAACTTGACTTTTTTTTTTTTTTTCAAGCTCACCATTTGATCGGCGAGCAGCAGGACGGTTTTTAGGCTGAACTTGCGGGAGCAGAAGTTGAAGAGGTCCTCCAGACTGGGGCCCAGCAGCTCCATCACCATCACGTTGTAATCGCCCTCGGCGCCGCACCACTTGATGGACGGGATACCCACTGCAAGGAGGAGGGTTCGATACCACTTCTTTTTCAGATCGATACCTGATGGGTAGCCACCGATACCGAGTACCGATACCTACTTTTGAAATATAATTTTTTTTTTTTTTTAACACAATGACCAAAAAATTTGAACGCCGATCTTTCTTTCTCATGCAGACGACGCACGATTCGCCAGCATGTCAAACCGCCGCGATACAGCCCCCCCCCCTCATTCAGCCTCACCTCCTCCCTGCATCATCTTATAGAATTTACTCTCAATGTGGAGCTGCGGATGTTTGGTCTTGACGCATTCCAGTTTGATGGCGACTTCCTCTCCTGTGGTGAGGTTGGAACCTAATGAGGAGCGACAGGATTTAAAAAAAAACAAAAAAAAAACAACAACAACAAAAAACGAAATCACAAATCTTCCACTGAGAATAATGTAAAGGAGGGGAAACTCTCACCGAGGTAAATGTCTCCGAAGGAGCCGCTCCCGATTTTCCTCCCGAGGCGGTATTTGTTTCCCACTCTCAGCTCCATGGCGACTAACTCACTGAAACACACACACACGATCATTCATCACTGGAAATCAGAATGAGGACACATCACAAGCTTAAGAGTCAATGAAAAGAGCGCCTTCCCCCCGCCCAACACCCACCCGAGGGTGCTTTACAAATAAAGTAGAGCAGCAATGACACAATAAAAAAGGAAACTTTTATCCTCTTTTCAAAGGAAGCTCATCCCGTCTTTCACTCTTTCCGCATCCTCACCGGACCGTCACAAGCAGTAGTTGCATAACAGGGAGAAAAGCAATGATGATATTTTGAATGAGTCATGTTCTTCCCGCGAAGGCACGAGACGAAGGTTGGATGGGCACCTTCTAACGTACAACAAGGTACACACTGCCTGATTTCCATTTACAGGATGAATTTTTAACTGATTGGTTTAAAGTTTGAAGTTCTTTCGGAAGGCCTTGGGCAGATTCCCCTGTAACATGACAACATGATAAGCCGTCCACTGTAGTAACCGCTGTCCCTCAAAGGCTTAAAATCATGTGGCGACAACTAAAAGATGAAATCCGATTGGACAAGAAAATTAAAATTCACCTATCGGATTGACGAAAGCCAAGAGAAACGCTATGAAATGCTGTTAAGGAGTCAAACGGCCATAGCATGTTCCCTTTCGAGCCAGTTTTTAACAGAAGAGTGTTTTAATATCACAAGACTAAGTGTGAAATGTCTTCTAATTTTCTGTTACAGTAGGTAACATTTAAGACATGCTTTTTATTTATTTTTTGCTGCACTGCACCTGCCGACATGAGGACATAGACACACTGTCATTCAACACTGATGCTCAGTGCTAAAAGCCCCCTGGGGACTGGGGGGGGGGGGCTCCTTTACAAACAATGTAAGGGCAGCAAGCGAGTGAAAAGGAAACCCAACCAAAGGGAATTGATCCAGTCTGTGCATCATCGTGAGACTATTATAAGTTGCATAAGATGAACGTGAAGAACAGCGATGATGAGATTTGAATGTGTCACGTTACTCCCTGGGAAGGAGTATTTCATAGTCGACCTCACAGTTCTGACGGTCAGGGTTTAAATCTCAGCTGCGGATTTCAAAATCACGCATGATGGGTTCAGGGCAAAGCATTACTATTGAAGCTCCTCAACTCACTGCCTTTTGCTATGGCAAAGAGCGTGACAACCAATATCATCTTGAAAATACAGCTTTCTTTCCAGAGGAAATTGTAGTCTCTTCTTTCTCATTTTTGGCCTGTTCTATTTTTTTTAAGAAGCTCTAAACTTATGTTTACTATCTTGTAAGCTTACTTTTTCCGGATGAGCAAACGAGATTTCTTTCACACTCTGGTGATCAATAATTTTTTTTTTTTTGTTCAGTCCCTCTGGGCCTGAGGCCTGGTACCGGTCCATGACCTGGTTGTTGGGGACCTCTGCTGTAAAGGAAATGAATGGATGGATGGATGGATGTTAAGTCCTCCTGTACAGCAAGTGAGCAATGTCATAGGACCCATCAGTCAACATCGAAGGAAACTTAAGCTTTTTTTAGGTGTGGGGGGGGAGATCACTGCTGCACTGGACATGTAGTCAGAAGTCATAAATACACGCACACAAACTGCTGCTGCACATTGGCTCAGCCTCTTCTAAACTGCCAGTTACACAACTGGCTAACAAGGTGTTGCAGTAAAAACGCCGCAACGACAGTCGGATGTCATATTGATGCTGACAAAAAAAAACCCGGAAACGATCCATAAAAACGTATTTAAGACATGACACCCTGCCATAAAGAGAACGTAGATGAGCTCACCGGTTGTCTGGGCCGACGTTGCGGTCTCACTCGGGGGCCCTGGACGGCGACATACATTTGCGGCTCATCCTCGCGCAAGACCCGGGGCTTCCTCCGAAGATTCACCCGCTGTCACGATGCTGCCGTGTCGGGAGCGAAAGAACGCAGAACAGACACGAGTGTCTCCCCCCGCCGCCACTTTCCTCCTCCTCCTCCTCCTCCTCGTCGTCGTAGTCGTCGTCTTGCTGACACACACACGCACACACCCTCCCACTTTACGCCAACTGCCTATGATGTCATCCGTTGGAGCATGAATGAAGCACCAGGTACACTTCGACTCAAACAAAACCTGTTTTGTTGGAGCCTAAATAACGTTCTGAACACGCCGTGAAGTTATAATGCAGCACTCTAAACAAAGGTCGGGATGTGGGTTTTAACATTTTGTGTCCTTAGTAGGTCTGAAGAATGTCACCCGAGTTGGTAAAATGGGACAAACAGCACCATCTAGAGGACAGTACTGGTAGTGCTGGCGACCGCACCTGGGTTACTACGGACACCAAGAAGTTAAAAAAAAAAAAACTAATAAAAATGTAAATTAACCGTACATCAGTGTTAGCAGTACTAAGCAAAGCCACATTTCTCTTTCGGAATAAATAGATAAATACTCATTGTTTTGATCTGTTAGTACATTTGACCGTCTGGATTTTAATTTTTAACCACTTCTGCTTGCAAATGAAACGGTGGGGATTTTTGTCAGTTTTTGCAATTTTCAAATTTAAAATAATCGTTCAAAAAAGGAGACGGTTTTTCAACCTGCACGTGCAAACAAAAAAATTATTAGCTCTCTTACAAATGACACTAACTGTTAACCCCCCTCCCCCGACAAATCAACACTCAAAGTAATGGACTGTAAACAGACTGTGAAGGGCCCAAAATGTCTAAGCCGGAAGCGTAAAATCCATAAAGGGCTGAAGGGTAATTTGATAGTTTCTCCAGTCAAGCCTCCTGTCAAAAAAAAAAATAAAATCTGCTCGCATGAAAACTGCTAAAAAAAAGACAACAGCAAAATAACGCTTTGAACCTTTATTATCTTGTTCTTTTCCACTTTAAATTAATTTCCTCTCCTTTTCGTAACATCTGAAATAAATGAAAACATCCTGAACAGGAGTGATAAAGACTGACTTAATTTAAATTGATACATAACATCAAAAAACAAAAATACAAACTGTAAAACATAACAGCTACTATCTTTAACGTGTCTGTAAAACACTGGTTCCAGCTGAGCTTGGTATGGTAGGATTTGAGCATTTGAATAGAAATGCCTTCAGTTGGTTGCGTCTTAAAAAGAAATGATCTATAATTGCATTTAACAAAATGGAAAAACAAACAAACATGAACAAAATGCTGCTAAAAAACAAACAAACTTAAGAGACATATGCAATAGTGCCAATGTTTTTGAACTTTTCAGCTATCACAATGTCTGGTGGTCACGCACGCGCACACACACAAAAAAAGCCAAGCTGTCAGATAAACATCTATTCACTCCCCTGACTGAAGCAGGTTAAGTTTTCAAAAGCAAGTGCCCGCATGAATCTCTCATGGACAAAAAGAAAACATTCAACATTGTAGCAATTCCACACACGCGCGCCAACACTCACATCAACACTCCTGATATCGTCATTTTCTTCATCCTCTATTCGGTCATACCGTCAACGCTCCTGTCATGCACACACAAGGCAGGCAAGGAGGGCACCTTGAACAGCGAGTAAATAAGTGACCAGAGTCATCATTAACATCAGGACAATATAGAACAACAACCAAGTCGATTTCTTTTGAGTAAGAAAAACAAAAGTACAATAGCGAGGTCAGTGTTTTTGAATGGGGAACAAAGAGATCTCTACAAAGTTTTCACGTTTCTCTTCAAACCGAGAGACAACTGATGTACATCCACAAGGAGATAAGAGTTTTGCTTGTCAAAGGTAAGAGCAGTGTGTAACTGGTGTGTGCGTGTGTGTGTGTGTGTGTGAGTGCAGGTGGGCCAAGGCCACTGCTGATGTAACATTACAAGTCGTCCTGTAAGGTCGGTGTCGAGTTGTGGAGGGATTTGTATTGGATGAGTCAACAACAAACCCCAGAGGCATATAGTGCAAGTTTGGCTAATGTTTAGGTTTTTTTTTTGTTTGTTTGTTTTTTTTTATTTTTTTTTTTATTATAACTCTTCTTTCTTTTTAACCCTGGGCCCCAGTTGATGGCATTCCCACCAAGGTAGAGGTGTCGGTATAGAGTAAAAATGTTCCTCTAATCCTCTAAAAAGGTCGCCACTGGTCCAGTTGAGAGCGAGAGCGAGGTGCTGTCATCCCCCAACCCTGCCCTCCGTTTTCCACGACACACGCCGGATCCTTTTGTCACTTTCAAGCTTCCGAACATGAGAACTTAAAGAGAAGTACACCGGGTCTAAGAAGGCTCAGTCTGCAAGTCGTCGACATTAAATACAAAAGACGAGGAGGGGCTCGGGCGGGGAGGACAACTGTGGCACACAAAGAACAGCGAGGGCTTAACGCGTTGACATGTTGGGACTCGGCTGAGCCCATCTACAGTACATGCCTGAGTGATCGGGTCGTGGAGTAAAAAGACAGAACTACCCAGTTCAGTCCGAGAGTCCCCCACCCCTTTCCCCTCCCCCCGCTTCAAGTTTCACTGTGGTCTTCATTTAACGTTGCTGATTTCATGTGTGAAATTACGAGAATGTATTGCAAGTAGCCTGTGTGACGGGAGACCAGTGTAGCTTCAATTCACATCATTTGCGTGTGGAAATAAATAGAGGGTGACGTCGTGACGATGATTTTCAACATGATCACATGTCAAGCGGGGGGGGCCCCTTCAGATGGAGTCGCCGTTCCCTCCCAGAAGGTCCCCCGGCAGTAGCGAGGCTGGGCTGCCCATCTGATGGCGATCTTCAAGTGCTGGCGAACCCCAGAGGCTACTACTGGGGTACCCGGCGCCACTCATGCCACCCATACCCCCCCACAGACCATGCCTTCCCGCTTCCACCCCTCCGCCTCCTCCCACCTCGGCGCTGTTGCCACTCCACTGGGAAAAGATGCCCAGACCGGGTGCGGCGGGGGCGGACTGGTCCGATGAGCTGCCGGTGGCTTCCAGGCTTTGCCACGTGGATTCGGAATGTCCGGCTACCACGGGTATGACCGTCCCTGCTGAAGACCCTACCTCTGCGCTTCCTCCCGTGCCGCCGCCGCTGCCATTTCCTCCTCCTCCTCCTGCTGTCGCTGCTGGTGCAGCGAGCTCGCAGTTAGCCCCGCTACCATTAGCTCCCACGGCAGAGGATGGTGCAGGGGTGGTGCCGGAGCCCGTGCCGGCACCTCCGCTCGCCGACCCTCCAGCCTGGGAATGTGCAATGTACTGGGCCACATCCTCTTCGCTCACAAACTTGGCTAAGATGGTGGTGTTGCCCAGAACACACCTGTTGAAACAAAAACGGTCACTCACAAACAATACACACACATACACAAGCAATAAATGAATCTATTAGAAAAAACAGTGGTGGCCAGTGGGACTACCGAAGGATGTGTGATTGGTTGAAAACAAAGTAATGCCAGATGAGAACTTTCAAAATAAGTAGCGTGGCATAATGCACCCAAATGACACGGGCCGTATTCCATGTTGATTTTAGTCTATCCAGCGGCCCCCGTAAAAAAACAAAAGTTATCCGTCTTACATGTGCAGGGCGCTCTGGGCTTTGGCTGCTTCCTGTTTGGAGCCGTAGCGGATAAGTGCGCTGCCCTGGGTCAGGCCAAGGTGAAAGGTCAGCAGGGGGCCATGCTGCATGCAAATGGTCCGAAGCGTGGAGCCATCAATCTGCAGACAGAGAGGAGATGCGCAGGGGGTGAAGGTCAAGGTGTGAAGTCAAAGTATTTGATGGACAGATTTTTTTTCAGCACTGATGTCTGACTGCCACAGTCGGTGTAAAATAGATGAAGGACCAACTGCAAACGGTTTCAATAGTTATACTTGCTCGCGAGCGCACCTGTGGCGTGAGATTGCTGAGCACCAACCAGCAACTTTCCCGAGAGCTGCCGTCACTCCACGCTGAGCCTTGAGAGAGAGCGAAACACATTTGACAAACTTTTCTACATTTCCTAAAAACACAATTACACTTTCATCATTGAGTGGTGCAGCGGGATAAGAAACAAACCTAACCTTGGAATCTAGCAAGACAAAAAAAAAAAAAAAAAAAAAAAAAAAAAAAAAAAAAAAAAAAAAAAAAAGCCTTTGTATCTTACCAGAGGTGCCTGAGCCACTGCTCCATCCCCTGCCGGCCAATCGAGGACCACCCCCTGACCATGGGGTCGGCAATATCTGCTTTTGACTGGCTAAACCTGGAGGGGGGCGGGACAGCTGCGCCTGGCTGCTGCCACGATTGGCTTTCCAGGACTTGTGGCCAATGGGCTCGGGGGGCCATCCAGTCTTATAGTCTGTATACTTTGCTATTGAAAAAAGGACGACAGAGAGGTGGCTGAAGGTCCCATTATCTGTCAGAAACAGTGTATGTGTGTGTGTGTGTGTGTGTGTGTGTGTGTTTAAGCTTACCTGAGTTGTGTGCGTTGTTCAGGGGATCTGAGGCACTGTAGGGCCAGGCACCAGGTGAAGGCAGTAAGGTGTTGAGGGGAGGGATGGAATCTACAATGAAGAATAGCTAATGTTGAACATGACATTTTGACTTCATAAGGATTTTGCGAGGGTCGGTCAAAGCCCCGAGGCGGGCAAGGCGCTCGCTTCATGGGAGGGCAAAATAAAAACGACAAAATAAATACACCAGCTACTGTGCAACAATCAACCGCAGATGTTCAATACGAACCAGTATTGTCTTGTAACAACTGGTGCTCAGTGTCATTGAGGCAGGGAGAGACGGTGTTTCCCATCATGCTCCCTGGCGTCATGTAGGGGTCCGATTCGGGGTCAACCCGATCTATTCCTTTCCAGGGAACACCAGGCTGAAACTCTTGAGGATGAAGGAAAAAAAGAGAAATGCTCATCAACAGTTGACATGCTATACGAGTCGTCCAAAAAGTTTACACATCGCCGGTCAGTCTGGTGGCCGACGGTGCTTTTGTTTGCAGCTAAATGCTATTTTGGTTGACACTTGAACAGCTGTAAACAATTCAATCCAGCCGGTTAAGAAAGCTGGCTGTGTTGTATGGCGCTCTGTCCCCTCCCACACCATATGTCAGACCCGTCTCCTCGGGTGGACCATAGGAGACCACTGACCAAAGAAAGTCACAGACGTTAATGAATACACTTGGGAACTGTTTTATAATTGTGGGAAAATTGCATAATGCGCCATTTAAAAATTCATACAGCGTCAACTCCGCTGAGACCCTGAATGTCAAGTAATTAGTGCAAACAGGATTGCGTAAAGTGTCACCACTTACCAGGGGGCCAGCTGGCTGTAGTGGTGGGCTTGGTACTCATCTTGCCAGGGGTGCGATGCCAACTGGTGTTGCCTTGCGCATCTCCAACAATCATGTCGTACTGTGAGTAGGGTGAGGCCCCCGGCATCTTCATGGAGGTGACAGGACCTGCACAGCAGTTTGGATCAACACCATTATGCAACGGATGGCTAAACAAATCACTTCCTGTACAATGTCCCTTC